CAAATTCAAATTGTAGGAAGGTTACAATCTAAAAATCATTATTATCTTTTTATCATTATCATTATATTACTTATTTTGTGTATGTTATAATCATGACCTATTAAATGTCTGATCACAGTGGTATATTCAATAAGTAAAAAAGATATGTTAACACTGTATTCACGTAGAACTATCATTTCGCTCATTACACTTGTAAAATCATTGATTAAAATAACGATAAGGCATTCAAACTGTTTTAATTATTGTAATGAAAGTAATACTTAATACCAGAGCCTGCAGGAATATACATTTATGCTCAAAATGTACAAATATCTTCCATATCATGTAACGCCAATTTGATATATTTAAAAAGGATATAAAAATACTTATTACATGTAACGAATGTCATTTCATATTTGGACAAAAGGATGTGCTTTGCAAAACTTCTAATTACCTTAGGAATGATTTACTAATGATTTGCCGATAATGTAAATTTGTCAATGACCTGCGCAATGTTATACTAAGTTACAATAATTATAAATGTTTAAGCATGCATAATGTAATTAGCGTATTGCGATTTTTGTATCTGTCAGAAGTCAACAGGATCGTGATATATAAATGATGAGTGTGGAATATACAGTTATAATCAAAATTACACAGAAATACTTGAAGATATTTTAAAAAAGTAATGTACGTGTAGACATTTATTAAAAATAAACTGGAGAGTCGACGATTAGAACATAATTAACTTAAGAATGTACATATATTGTTAATAAGTTAATGACAATAAACTTTATAATAATTATGCACTAATTTATTCGGCCACAAAATTATCTAATAAACAATTTCACCCCACATATGTCAGAATAGAAATATAATAGGCCCAGATAATACACAGACTTGCAATACGCGTATCAACAAAAACACCAAAAAACATGACATAACGCATAATGGCACGTGTATATTGATCTATAATTGATAACGAGCTCTCTTACATATAAAAACATGATAATTCTTTTATGGAGAAATATATTAGAATGAATTGCTCTTTCACATATTATGTTTATGAATGATATTTAAATAAACATTGGAATAAAAATTGATCTGCACCACACATTTATTTCTGGACTTCCTAAATAGAAAGACATAACCATCAGACATCCTGCTGACTTATGATACGTTGTTTTAGTAAAATCTACATGTATATTTCAGAAAGGGGAAAATTATAGCATGATATATGAATATTGCGTCAACTATTGTAATGGCTTTGGATATTCTATCATTGAATAAAATATCTGTTGTGTTCTGTTTTGTTTGAATTAGACACGTAAAAGTGTAAAATACAAACATTGGACAAACACGAGAAGGATAAACAGCCGCAAGTTTTGAACAATTCAGCGTTCCAAAATATTCAAGTTATGTGGCTGTTCATTTTAATTGTGAAGCTCATTCTATTGAAGAATCGTTTTCTTCCTATTGATAGTTTACATATCAACAGGAATAGATTGTTAAAGGCACATTATACAAAATAATAATTCACTATAATTTTACTTATGACCTGCAATGTTATACTAAGATACAATAATCATTAATGTTTAAGCATGCATAATGTAATTAGCGTAATGCAATTTTTGTATCTGTCAGAAGTCAACAGGATCGTGATTTATAAATGATGAGTATGGAATATACAGTTATAATCAAAATTACACACAATAAAAGTGCCGGTGAGAAAGGGCAAAAGTATCACTGGGAAGTGCAACAAAGACGTGGTACTTAAGAAACTGAAAAAGTATTATAAGAAACGACGCCCTGTCACTGGTTTTAAAGACGTAGTACTTAAGAAACTGAAAAAAGTATTATAAGAAACGACGCCCTGTCGCTGGTTTTAAGCAGATCCGTCTTCTACATGACAATGCTCCCGCCCATACCTCCGCAATACTAGTAGTTTCGGCGTTTTTGAAAAAAGAAAAAGTAACAGCTTTGCCTCACCACCCGTATTCTCCAGACTTTGCCCCATGTGATTTATTTTTGTTTTCGAAATTGAAATCCCTCCTTGCTGGGCGGAAATACAAGTCCCGACAGGGACTTGGATCTGCCATTCATCAGTACTTTATTACTGTGCCCAAATCAGCGTACCGTGACGCCTTCAAGAAGTACATACATCGGCTGAAACTTTGCATTTCTAGCCACGAGGAGTACTTCGTGGGCATGATATAAACACTTTGAGCTTACTTGAAATTCGAAGTCTCCAGATAGAAATAAGCAATACATTTCGAACATCCTCGTAACTATGTCTTTAACTTAAATACCTGGATCATGCTTGAACAATACGTCTCATGGCGATGAATATTTCTAAATGTCCATGCGTGTAGGAATTATGCTCCAGAAAAAGTCTGCATATTTCATCATATTATGTGAAATTGCCTTCCATGTATTAACCTACAATACATGTGTCACAGCTGTAATCCTGACAATGCACCACCAATAAATGATAACTAAATGGTCCTAACACACATCATCATAATTTTGACCTCTTTGTGACATTCAGTTTAGCCAAAGAAACCTGTCTTAAGCACGCGACTCTCTGCTTCACAATGTCGAACATTTGTGATAAGCTATATTACAATCCCCCGATGAAAAAAGAAGTTTTGCTCCGAACATGAAATTTTCTATAAGCTCTAAGTGTGACCTTGATCTTTAACCTTGAGACCTCGAGCGAAATGTCTCATAGCGATGAATACTGTATTTCTAAAGAGTTTAATGAAAATTCTTTCAAATTTGTAGGAGATATGCTCCACACAAAATCTTGATAAGTCATCATCTTTAGTGATCTTTACCTTGAATATATTGACCTAAATTACACGTGTCACAGTCATGGTCATGATAATGACCATTTGTGATACAATCCCTCAATAAGTGATGACTAAATGAACCTTCTACACATTTTTATTTTTTCTATTTGAACTTTGATCACTATGTGTGACCTTGAACTTGACTGCACAGTGCGCATCACTTCGCATCACAATATTTGTGCCAAATTTTATTGAAATCCCTCTATATGTGTAAAAAAATTTCTGGAGCATTAAGTATGACCTTGATCTTTGACTTAGAAATAATAAGCGCGACACGGGTTCTCATAGTGGTGAGAATTTCTTTGGAGTTTCATCAAAATCGCTCTGTGTGTAGGACATATGCTCCGGACCAAATTGGACCCAGCACGCCAGGGGCGTTCCCATAATATGTCCTGTTCAAAACGGCCTGTAATATTTATATCTTATTCAATTCAATCATTACATCAATAAATGATTCATCTAACTAAATTTACTGAACTAAATAATATTAAACTGGTGTAAATTATTAAACAGAGTAAAAAGTGGGATATAAAGATTAATGGTGTTTTTAGATAAAATATATAGAAATGGAAATTGAGAGATATCTTAAAGAATATATTTTCAAATGTCTAAAATTGAGAAAAATATTGTCATGATCCAAAAATCAGTTATATTCAACTATTATAAAAGAACCCATATGGTAATTAAAACTACGCTTTCCAAGTTAAAAGGTATAACAATTAAGTATTGTCCTACAGCTTAATTTTGTAAAAATAAGCCAAACACATGCAGAAATACATTAGCTTATTTTCAATAAAAAGCTTTTTAAATTTTCCAATAAAAATGAAATAAAAATATACTAAACACACATTTGATGATATTGATAGAATCTGAAATTGGATTTCTAATAGGAGCGACTGGCGAATCTTCAGCTGTGACACGCATTGTATGATTTAATATACATATAAAAATATTCTCCGTTACCTTTAGTTATATAGAAATACCAAAGAAATAATTACAACACTTCATAAAGAATTGATTAATGTACATAATTAATTATGATAATGAATATTTTAGATAGTGGCATTTAGATTACAAAGTTCATATAAAATACAATCCTGAAAGAGATTATATATAGACACATTTAACTAAACTGGAATAAAATTTCCTGTTACAAAATACGAAATTCAAAATACCTTTAAATTTAAAATGACCTTGGGTTTAATATACATGTATTTTGTTATGGAAAAAGGTGAGATCTATCCTCTTCACGTATACCAAAAACAACTACTCTCTCATATATGTGATTTCTTTCCAACTTCAAATTATGTCTGGACAAAAGACTTAATTTAATAGAAAATTTATGTTCCATTTGTAAATCTATTAGATTTTGAATCCATAAACTGATGAAAGAAATTATAAAAGTAAATACATGTGTAAAAGACTTTTGAGAAATAAAAAATAAAAGAATTCTGGGACATAATGGGCCTTTAAGGTTATACTTTATGCGCGTCATTGAAAAATGAAAACAACAACAACGAAAACACAAGAAACCCGTTTTTAGTGTTATATACATGTATATAGGTACATAAGATATATTCGTGTCGGATCATTGAGCTCGTTGAAAAAAAAAAATGTGCTGATAATTATTTATTTATACTAATTTGAATGCGATTTTTTGTGTAATCAAAAGGAACTTACATTAGTTGTCATTACTTAAAAAAGTTTTAAACTCTCGTCAAAGGTTTGTTTTATTACTTTATCTGCAACTCGTTTTACAAAATTTTATTTTCACAAAAGCGAAGTACACTTTTCAGTGTTATATATAGCATATTAGCTCAAAACAAATAAGTTTTCTTGTTGTGTGCCTAATAAGTAAATGACAGCCACGTTCGACAGTTTTCATCAAAGCACGAGAAACAGAACCACTGCGGAAGATGAATATCAGACGTTACTGTAGACTTCTACAAACAAAAGTTTTGTTTGCATTGTAGGCCTATATATATATATAAACGTTAATTAATCAAATGCCTTGAAATATTATTATTCGATCTATATAGCAAATATATTATATATAAAACTCTATGTATGGATGGCACTGTAGACACGTTTTTGGATAGGTGCATTCATAATTCATAGAGCGCCGACAATTAAATGTACATCTCACTATTTCGTCAGCAGATTAGAACTACACTTATGCATATTTAGTAGTGTGAAACCTGGCCATTCGCAATCGTTATATTTAATGATAATTCTTTCCTCGCATATATTATAATTTTACTGAAAACATGGGTAATTATTTTCAAAAGAAGGAAGAAGTTCAGGAATCTGATACTGTGCCGGCGAACTTAGTTTTAATAGGAGCAGTAATGTCTGGTAAACGAACACAGGTACGTGATGCATCTCAGATTTTCACTTACTGACTTAGGCAGGAAAAAAACTCAAGGACATTCTTTCATTTAGAAAAGTAAATGCAGATTCACTTTGAGATGATTTGCCAGTTCAACGAAATACATTATAAACAACATAATAATGTAATTTTATACACATATTCTATTATTAATGGCAGTTAGTATCGTATAGTTATGTCTTGTCTTCGTCCTCGAAATATTTCGAACGGTAGCAAGACACCTCACCCCCCAGACACTTCACCCCTCAAATTTTGAAGACACTTCACCCCTTAAGACACTTCACCCCCCAAAATCAGTAAGACACTTCACCCCTCATCCAATTTTTTTCTATAAAGTAAATAAGTCAAGTTGGTCAACAACAAAATGCTTATATATGTTTATTTTTTATTATTTTTAGTATTATTTGATTAAAAATTTTGCTTATTACCTTTATTTTTACTAAGTTTAAAGCAGATTTAGGTTAATTGGTTGTATTGCCAAATGATATATCAAAGCACTTTCATCCATTGAGTGTTTATTGCATGTCACCTTGATTAGTTGTTTTTCAACAGTTATCTCACAATTGATTAGATAATTGAATTAAAATGGTATAATTGTATGAAAATTAAATTTATTCTTAATAAATATTATAAATCAAATAAATAAATAAATTAAATGAATATTAATGAATATAAATGAATATGAATGAATGAATCGGTTGCTTTATAAAATATAGTAAATATAAATTATTTATCATCATTATCAGACACAATTATCCTGCATTTAATACAAAGATCATTCATAATGTCATTTATTAAACAAATAAATAGCACCAGTTATGTTAATTAAGCACAAGGTTAAAGCACAAACCATCACCAAATGAACATACGGTAACTCAATGTTTATTATATGGTAAGGATCAAACTGAAAACAAACTTAAGTACCAAAACTTCAAGAATTAAATCAACTCAAAATTTATTAGACAATGGGTTAAAACAATAAACATAATCACTATTGAATGTATTTAACATAATCTACATAAATAATTGTTAAACACAAAATAAAAAAAATGAGGGGTGAAGTGTCTCAATCAAATTTCTTAAAATGAGGGGTGAACTGTCTGAGGGGTGAAGTGTCTGCAAAAAAGGGACTAGGGTGAAGTGTCTGGGGGGTGAAATGTCTGTAAGCCTTTCGACCTATTTAAAAAAGTAAGGTTTGAGTATGGACGGTAAACAGATGTTTCCCACATCTGGTTACCTTATGTCCCATCCTATAATTTCTTAAAATAACTAATCTATGTAATCATTTGCTTTCAATTCATTTCAGGCATACTTGTTACAAGATGCAGTTAAAGACATGTGCCATTTAAAAGTTGGTAAATACACATTTATATCTTTCTGGGGTTTCCCCTTGTTATTTGTACGTTTATTCTGGGACAGAAGATCTTTCTGTCTCAGATTTATTTGTTATATTAAAAAAGTGCAAAACATCGTGTGCACACAAGATTATATCTGTCAGTTCATGTTTTCTTCTCTGTAAATATATATATCTGGGCAGACAGTTTTTATGCCAGAACGGCAGAAACTGTTAAAGTATTGTTCTAAAACTAATGAAATAGTTACTGAACATGTATAAGCCCCACTTGCAGACATAAATCTAAAATATTTACAAAACTATGCCCCTTTTATGACTAACAGAACTATGGAACAATTATTTCTATCTCCCAAAGGTTTTTTTCTTTACCGTTTAAAGCTACTAACCCACACATTTTAGTTTGGGCTTTTTGAAATATCATCAAAAGATAAAATTTCAACACAGGCTCATACATTTTATGATTTATATGGAACTAGATAATTAATACATGAATTTTATGACAAAAAAGATTTTAGTAAAGTATTTACAATAGTTATCCTGCTGTAATTATAAACCATTGCAACATTTTATTTTTTAAATATTGACTTCAGAAGAGTTATAAACACACCTGTTAACTGGTTGCAAATAAATCAGTTGATTGAAGGTAGAACAATTGTGTGCTTGTTAAGTTTTGTTTTCTGTAATTAATTGCTGCAAAATAGACTTTTTTTAAAGCATCACTTTTATAACAATTAATATGACTTTATGAGTGTAATTTTAGAAATAGATTTTACTCAGAAACTATATTGCCCACTATAGAGCTTTGATATTTAGCATAACTAAATCATGTTACTTTGGTCAAAAATGCCCTTGAAGTAAAATAGTTTGTTTAGACATTTTTAGGAAAATACATTAATTTTAAATCTTAGTGATTAATTGGATGACTTACAGCTTTGATATTTGACATGTAGAATTGCCTAGTGCCCCTCTAGTAAAGATGTATGAATTTATATCGGTCATGACCCTAGGGTAAAAAAAAAGATCCCACCTAAATGTGATCCCATTACCTACTACTTTGTTTCAGAATAATAACCTTTGTAATAACATTATAACTCTGTTGTTTTAACCTTTCAGGTGAACTTAAGATGAAAGAAGTAATGTCTAAGACAAGTATTGGTAAAGAGATAGAGAAACAAGTTACAGAGAGTATGTTTTCTTTCTTTTTTTTTTTCATTTTTAGCGCAACAGAGCATACAATACTGTCTCTATTTAACTCCCCCTGGGGCTTGCATTTTTAGCTCACCTGAGCTAGCTCAGGGTGAGCTTTTAGGATCGTTGAATGTTCGTCGTCTGTTATCCATCCACACTTGTTTGTTAACACTCTAGTGGTCATATTTTTGCCTCAATCATCATCAAACTTTGTCAGGATGCTTGTCTAGGTAATAGCTCGGATGAGGTTGAACATGGGTCATCTCGGATGAAAAACTAGGTCACAGGAGCTAAAAATAGAAAAATCTTGTTAACACTATAGTGGCTACTGTTTTGATCCAAATGTCCTGGAAATTGGTCTGAAAGTTTGTTTTGATGATTTCTAGGTCAAGTTGAATATGTGTCACCTGGGGTCAAAAACTTGGTCACACTGCTCAAATATGGATAATCCTTGTTAACACTCTAGTGCTCACATTTTTAGCTCGACTATTCAATAAGAATAAGTAGAGCTATTGCAGTCACCCGAGCGTCGGCGTCCGCGTCGGCGTCGGCGTAACCACTTATGTTAAAGTTTTTGTAATAGTTCAAATATTTTCAAAGTCCATTGACATATGGCTTTGAAACTTTGCACACTTGTTCACCATCATGACCACAACCTGTAGACAGGAGGAGGTAACTCTATCAAGCATTTTGACAGAATTATGCCCCTTTTTCGACTTAGAATTTACGTTAAAGTTTTTGTAATAGTTTAAATATTTTCAAAGTCCATTTACATATGGCTTTGAAACTTTGCACACTTGTTCACCATCATGGCCCCAACCTGTAGACAGGATGAGGTAACTCTATTAAGCATTTTGACAGAATTATGCCCCTTTTTCGACTTAGAATTTACGTTAAAGTTTTTGTAATAGTTCAAATATTTTCAAAGTCCATTTACATATGGCTTTGAAACTTTGCACACTTGTTCACCATCATGACCCCAACCTGTAGACAGGAGGAGGTAACTCTATCAAGCATTTTGACAGAATTATGCCCCTTTTTCGACTTAGAATTTACGTTAAAGTTTTTGTAATAGTTCAAATATTTTCAGAGTCCATTGACATATGGCTTTGAAACTTTGCACACTTGTTCACCATCATGACCCCAACCTGTAAACAGGAGGAGGTAACTGTATCAAGCATTTTTTTTACTATCAAGCACTAAGAATAGTCGAGCGTTGCTGTCCTACCGACAGCTCTTGTTGACTCACCTGTCATGAAACTTGGTCAGAATGCTTGTCTTGGTATTTTTCGGATGAGTAAGATGGGTCAGGTGAGCAATCTATGGCCATGATGGCCCTCTTGTTTTCAAGAAGGAGGGAGGGGGTGCTAATAAGAACTATAAAAATGTGCTTTAAAATATGCTTATCAAAGATGTAATTCAATTATAAAAATCATTATACATTATTATGATGTAATATATAAAACAGGATGATATTTGTTTTGATGATTTTACAACTTGAGTGTAATAAATTGTTCTTTTTAAATAAAAATATTTGGATTTTTTTATTGCTCTTTCATTATGGATTATTGAGGTTTTTTCCTACAAAATATGGTTTGGGCGTTAATTAGAGAAGGGGCGTTGATTGGAAACAGTACAGTAATTACAGTGCTCTTATGAGTTTTTGCAATTGATTGCTGCTGTCCATAATTTATTTGTCTACACAAAAGAAGTTTTTTTAACAAAACGTTCTTTATTACCAGAAGATTACAGTTCATTCCTTTAGTCAACCTGATATCATCATGTAAGACAGAGTTGTGGCCCTTTAAAGGGCGATTGAAGGAAAATTTGCCTTGTCTGGGCAAATGTACATGTAGATTTTTATGTTTGATTTGATTTTTAGAACCGAAATTTAACAGAACTTTTATCACTAAAAAATTCTGGTTAATATTTAAATCGGCTTGATATCATCATGCATGAAAGAGTTGTTGCCCGTAACAGGGTAAAAGAAGGCAAATTTGCCTTGTCTGCAACAAAATACATGTAGGTCTTTATGTTTGATTTGAATTTAGAAACATAACTTTACAGAACTGTAATCACAAATAAATTATGGTTAATATTTAAATGGGCCTGATACCATCATATATGAAAGAGTTGTGGCCCTTTACAGGGTTAAAGAAGGCTTATTTGCCTTGTCTGCATGATAGAAGCTACACTGCAGTCAAAAGATTTGGTGTGGATGTTTGTCATGACAAGAAGATAACATGGATGGATTTTGAGGTCGAGTTTAGAAATAATTTATTATGTTATATGACTGTTATTTCTTTTGTAGCGGGTGATGTTAGTGATGACCTTGTGCTGGGTCTTATAGAGAAAAAAATGAACTCATACGAATGCAGAGGTGGTTTTATAATGACAGATTTTCCTTTAAAAGTTTCATCAGCTGAAGGGGTAAGTTTGATGTTTTTGTTTTTAGCTTGACTATTTACAGAATAATTGAGCTAATGCAGTCACCCATTTGTCGGCGGCAGCGGCAGTGGCCCTGTGGTTAAGTTTTTGCGTGTAAGCATGTATCTCCATAACTACTGAAGGGAATAAATTGAAACTTCACACACTTGTTCTCTGTGATTATCTAACATGCTTGGCAGAAGTCCCATAACTCTGATTTGCTTTTTTATACGCCCGTTTGAAAAACGGGACGTATTATGGGAACACCCCTGGCGGGCAGGAGGGCGGGCGGCGTCCAATTTTGTCCGGAGCATATCTCCTACATGTATGGAGGGATTTTAATGAAACTTCATAGAAATGTTCACCACTATGAGGAGCAGTGTCGCGCACATGAACCAGGTCTCTAGGTCAAAGGTCAAGGTCACACTTAGAGCTCATTGAAAAATGCTTGTCCGGAGCAAAACTTCCACATGTATAGAGGGATTTCAATATTACTTGGCACAAATGTTCACCATTGTGAGGCTGAGTGTCGCACGCAAAATTCAGATCCCTGCGACCAAAGTCAAGGTTACACATAGAGGTCAAAGTTCAGATAAAAATTTGAAGATGTGTATAGGGACCATTTAGTCATCATTTATTGATGGATTGTAGCACAAATGGTAACTATCATGACTACAGGTGTGACACATTTAATTTAGGTTAATATTTGCAAGGTCAAGGTCACTGGAGATGATTAAATATCCAGATGTTGTCCGGAGCATATTTTCTACATGCATGGAGGAATTTTAATGTTACTTTATAGAATTGTTCACCACAATGAGACATAAGTGCCCTGCACATGAACCAAGTCTCTAGGTCAAAGGTGAAGGTCACAGTTAGAGCTCATAGAAAAACGCTTGTCTGGAGCAAAACTTCTACATGCATAGAGGGATTTCAATATAATTTGGCACAATGTTCATCATTGTGAGGCTGAGTGCCGTGCATAAAATTCAGGTCCCTGCGACCAAGGTCAAGGTCACACATCCTGTGCATATCTTCCCTACTGATTTGTTTTAAGGTTCATTTAACAACACAGTGCCAAGAATAAAAACTTGCTTGCTAGATAACACTTATCCATAATGCCCCCATCTCCATCTAAAGCTTTCGTAAACGGGCGTATTTTGTGACTATGGCACCCTTGTTTTGCATTATTATGCCCCTTTTTCGACTTAGAAATTCTTGGTTAAGTTTTTGCGTGTAAGCTGGTATCTCCATAACTACTGAAGGGAATGGATTGAAACTTCACACACTTGTTTTCTGTGATTTTATAACACGATTGGCACAAGTCCCATATCTCTGATTTGCTTTTTTGCATAATTATGCTCCTTTTTCGACTTAGAAATTCTTGGTTAAGTTTTTGCATGTAAGCTTGTATCTCCATAACTACTGAAGGGAATGGATTGAAACTTCACACACTTGTTTTCTGTGATTATCTTACATGATTGGCACAAGTCTCATAACTCTTGATTTGTTTATGCCCCTTTTTTCGGCTTAGAAATTCTTGGTAAAGGTTTTGCTAGTAAGCTGGTATCTCCATAACTACTGAAGGGTTTGTGCCTTTTTTGGACAATTTTATGCATTCATAATAATAGAGCAGTGATTTACTCGATAAAACATCTTAATAACAACTAAACAAGCCTTTGTACCTTTTCGGACAATTTTATGGATTCATATAGGTAAGCCTTATTATACTAAATGAAACACCCTTGTGACAACTTTTTCAAATAGTTGAGCGTTACTGTCCTCCGACAGTTCTTGTTATAACCCCACCTTATACAATTTGGAGGTGATGGGGGGGATATAAATGTATTAATCACTTTGTCCCACATAGTCCTGAATGTTAGTTTTTAAATACTTACATGTACATCATCCAGGATCCTAGTTACCTATCAGGGTACTGGGGCTAGTACCCTCAAATTGTGGAATTTCACATTGTTTTCAATGTTTTGGCGAAAAAGTGGAAATGTGTCTGTTGACAAAAATGCTTACATGTGTAATGTTAAAAAATGATTTGGTTAGGAACTTAAGGGTCTTCTGCTTAAGGTAGGTAAAATTTACAAAAAGAAAAAAAAAAGATTTTCTTTTTTTAATAAATGCAGAAAAATATATTTTAATTGGACAGGGGAATGGAGCCAAATTAGGCCCCAAAAATTGTCATCAGTATTAAATTGTTATGGGTTTGCCTTCTTGGCTAAATCAGGAGAGTATTGATAAGACTGCCAAAATATGATAAAAAAAATTGTGTAGAAATCAGAAGAAGAAGAAAATGACATAAAACAATAATTATTGTTATGTGACTATTACACACTTATTTGGGGTAGGAGGTCTGTCTGAGTGGTACATGTAAATGTGGTGTTCTTGTAAACTAAAGATTGCTGATTGTGTGGGTCAAACCCTGCCAGGGGTAAGCTGTCCTTTACTTGATCTAAGAATCTTTACACTCAATGCTTATCACTGGTTGGTCCCAGAAACAAGATACAGTGTGCTTATAAGCTTATAGTTTAAAACTAAAATTAATTATATGCTTGAAAGATTTAAAACAGGATATAAGAACAATCTGTGACACAAATTAAACAGGAAGTATTTAACAGCTGTGTGTTTTACCATAAAAATAAACAAGACTCAACTGTTTTTTAGCTCACCTGTCACAAAGTGACAGGGTGAGCTTTTGTGATCGCTTTTCGTCCGGCGTCCGTCCGTCCGTCCGTCGTCCGTCCGTCGTCCGTCCGTAAACTTTTGCTTTAAATGACATCTCCTCATAAACCACTGAGCCAATTTCATCCAAACTTCACAGGAATGTTCCTTTGGTGGTCACCTTTAAAAATTGTTCAAAGAATTTAATTCCATGCAGAACTCTGGTTGCCATGGCAACCGAAAGAAAAATCTTTAAATATCTTCTTTTAAACAACCCTAGGAGCTAGAGCTTAGATATTTGGCATGAAACATCTTCTAATGAGTGTCTACCAAGTTTGTTCAAATAAAAGCCCTGGGGTCAAAATTGGCCCCGCCCCGGGGGGTCATTGATTTTCCCTATATGCATATAGTAAAAACTTAAAAAATCTTCTTTTAAAGAACTGTAAGAGCTAGAGCTAAGATATTTGGCATAGAACATCTTCTAGTGAGTGTCTACCAAGTTTGTTCAAATAAAAGCCCTGGGGTCAAAATTGGCCCCGCCCCGGGGGGGTCATTGATTTTCCCTATATGCATATAGTAAACACTTAAAAAATCTTCTTTTAAAGAACTGTAAGAGCTAGAGCTTAGATTTTTGGCATGAAACATCTTCTAGTGAATGTCTACCAAGTTTGTTCAAATAAAAGCCCTGTGGTCAAAATTGGCCCCGCCCCAGGGGGTCATTGATTTTCCCTATATGCATAAAGTAAAAACTTAAAAAATCTTCTTTTAAAGAACCCAAAGAGCTAGAGCTTAGATATTTGGCATGAAACATCTTCTAGTGAATGTCTACCAAGTTTGTTCAAATAAAAGCCCTGGGGTCAAAATTGGCCCCGCCCTGGGGGGTAATTGATTTTCCCTATATGCATATAGTAAAAACTTAAAAAATCTTCTTTTAAAGAACCGTAAGAGCTAGAGCTTAGATATTTGGCATAAAACATCTTCTAGTGAGTGTCTACCAAATTTGTTCAAATAAAAGCCCAGGGGTCAAAATTGGCCCGCCCCGGGGGGGTCATTGATTTATCCTTTATGCATATAGTAAAAACTTAAAAAATCTTCTTTTAAAGAACTGTAAGAGCTAGAGCTTAGATATTTGGCATGAAACATCTTCTAGTGAAATTCTACCAAGTTTGTTCAAATAAAAGCCCTGGGGTCCAAATTGGCCCCGCCCCGGGGGGTCATTGATTTTCCTTATATGCATATAGTAAAAACTTATAAAATCTTCTTTTAAAGAACCCAAAGAGCTAGAGCTAAGATATTTAGCATGAGACATGTTCTAATGGGTGTCTACCAAGTATGTTCAAATAAATGCCCTGGGGTCAAAACTGGCCCCGCCCCGGGGGTCATTGATTTTCCTTATATACATAGCAAAAACTTAAAAATCTTCTTTGAAAAAACCCAAATAACTAGAGTTTAGATATTAAGCATGAAACATCTTTAAGTAAATATCTACAAAGTTTGTTCAAATAAAAGCCCAGGGGTCAAAACTGGCCCTGCCCGAGGGGTGTCATTGTTTTTAACTATATGTGTATAGTAAAAACTTAAAAAATCTTCTTTTAAAAAACCCAATGAGCTAGAACTTAGATGTTTTGCATGAAACATCTTCTTATGGGTGTCTACCAAGTCTGTTCAAATAAACAAATAAAAGCCCTTGGGTAAAAATTGGGCCGGGGGGGGGGGGGCTATATACAGGTGAGCGACCTCAGGGCCATCATGGCCCTCTTGTTCTTTATTTCAGTTAGACCAGCTGCTAGAAAAAAATAAGCAAAAGTTACATAAAGTGATTAATTTGAAGGTCAACTTTTACTCTCTTCTTGCACGACTGGATGGATGTCTCGATCACCCAGCTAGTGGAAGACGATATCATTTAGACTTTTTACCACCTAACAAAACCAACAAAGATAATGTAAGTGAAGCTCTGCTATAAATCTGGTATCTGACCTTGATGGTGTTAAGCAAATACTGTATGTGTGAGAATGATTCAGTAGGATTTTTTTTGCCTCATTACAAAATGATCCCTATGTACTACACAACCCTTATTCTAGAAAAATTAATTGGCCAAGTGAGTTTAGATTATTTTTTTAGTCCTTTACAAAAGTTAGCAACAGATGTAACTATAGATAGGCTGTCTGATAATCTATTTGTCTATGTGTAAGTCTGAATTACAGTCAACCCGGCCCCAAGTTTACCCGGCCTCAAAATTGGTCAATCCGGCCCCAAAATTGGTCAATCCAGCCTCACATTATTTCTATTTGGTCAATCCGGCCCCAAAATTGGTCAATCCTGCCCAACATTATTTCTATTTGGTCAGTGCGGCCCCTAAATTGGTTAATCTGGCCCCAAAATCGTTCAATTCGGCCCCAAAATTAGTTAATATGGCCCTAAAATTGATTTTCAGAGAATATTTTATAAAATTGAATTATTATGTTTTAGATGATATTTTGCTTCTTTCCTTTTCTCTTTTGTCTATAAATGATAAATTTATTACACACATTTAAAATAAAGGATTTTCAAAATATATATCAGCGATTTTTTCCCTTAAATTGTAAATGGGTCCAGTACTGTGACAATTGTGGGGGAAAAAAATCCAAATTGTGAATTTTTTTCTTAAAAATGAAAATTCATATAAATCTACACAGAATTGTCTGAATGACCTTTTTCAGATGTTTTCCAAAGAATTTACCACTCTTAGATTGATACACTATAACCGGATGTTTACCTTGTATTTATATCTGATTTGTTTGCAATGTTCAACTTGATCAGAATATGTTCTAAAAATTTGACCAGTTCCCTGAAAAATGCCTTTCATTACTTGGTAACTGTACGACTGCAAGACAAATCTAATTTCATTCAGCTTTGAAAAAGTCATTGTCCACATAGTTTAAATTATCAAAAATACTGCTGCAAAATTCCCTTTAATTCGGGTTTTATCTAATTGAAAGACCCTGCTTAAACATATATTTTTGCCGTTTCGGACATTTACTCGATTAAACTGTAATAAAAAAAAATCTGCAAATCAAATTGGAAGCAATTGAACTTTCGGTTTGAATATCGGCATTAAGATGACTTTTTAATTTATACAACACATCAATGCAAAGACAAATTATGATTTTAATCACTTATATCAGGAAAAAGACGAAATTGTAAGTTAAATTTATGTAGATTGTGAATTTTGGCAGAATTGTGAACTGGTTCGTCGGACCCATTCTGAAAATTGTGAAAGACCGTTCATGATTGTGAATGGGTCCGTTATTCGGTACCACTTATATAAGGGAAAAAATCGCTGTTATAATATACATCTTGACTTACTGAAGATTATGAACCATATCATAAAATTATCAAAACATCAATAGGCTTTAAATTTGTCTGTAAATATAATTGCACCAATTAAGGCTTTATAACATAACAGTGATAATGAATGATTATATAAACATCAATAAATAATTTAATTATGTGTGAACATATGCATTTATTCAAACAAACAGTTAAGAGCAATCAATTAAGAAAGAAATATTAATTGTGAAAAAAAACCTTTAACTTTGTTGTCTGATCAGTATTTCATGTCTTTTTTTTTATGTAAATTTGATAATATATTTTCCTAAACATATAAAAATGCTTTATCTATGTGTTTGCTTTTTTCACATGTACTGCTTCAAAGAGTTGTCTGAAACAGTCAGCCCTTCTGAATACTGTGTCTACTGGTATAGACCCGTAATCGGGAGAAGGGAGAAACATTTTAATATTATTAATATAGCTCTACTTTTTCACTTTTTCTTATTATCTTTTTTTCTATTCAGGAAATAATGTGAATAATTATCAAGATAAAAAGCACAAGAGAATGTCTTTAAAGATTTGTTTTTACATAATTCATCACCTTTACTTTAAACAAGTTGTTAATAAACAATAAAAATCTGGAAACAAAGTGATCCCTCAGAAGCATTAATCACAACAAAATTACAAGAGAACTGCAGACTCGGTTTGATTGAGTCTGTACATGACAGATAATGTAAAGTGCAACATCCCTCCTAATAAAGCACATTAGTTAACTAGTTTTAATAACAACGGCTAATGTGCTTCTAGATATAATGAATCTTGCAATAATAATTATTCACATTATTTCTTGAGTAGAAAACGTTCATGAATAAAAAGTAGTGCCAAATAACTTATAATAAAAATTGGGCCGGGTTGACCAGAAGTCAGATTGACTTGGGGCCAGATTGACTAATTTAGGGCCAGATTGACTTGAGTCCGAGTTGACTGCACTGACTGTTCCATTCATTGTGGTCTCCACTTGCATAAATTCTACTAAATTAGCGAATATAAATTGGTGATTATTCTTCTAGTTTTGCAGGGCTTAAATAGAAAGTATCGTTAAATGTCTCTGTGGAGTGTTTATGATATACAAGAGAATAGATTTTATCAATGTACATACAAGTAATTTATGTTTTATTTATTTTCTATTAGGTAACTGGGGAAAAACTTCTCCCGTGTTTAGCTGACACAGAAGGGGAGTTACGAATCCGTAATGGTGTTTATTTTGAACAGACGAAACCAGTTCTGGAGTACTATAGTGCACAAGGGAAAGTAAATTCAATCAATGGTGACAAAAAAATAGGTGAAGTTCATCAAGCAATCTTGTCTAGCATAGTACGTTATAAAACTAACAAAACTGCCAAAGAATTCTTGGATACATTGGAAATATTGGCGAAAGATGTTCGTGAAAAGCAAAACACAGAAAAGCAATAACTAAACTATTATAGTATTTAGGGGTTTTTTTTTGAAGTCGTTCTTTCATCTAAGTATCTTATTCACAAATGATCAAGTACATATATTTATTGTACATGAAACAGGTAAAATGTAAAAATTTTAATCGGAATTCACGGAAATATTTTATTTTCAAAGAAGAACAAACCCATTTTAAAAGTATTATTTTATTTTCATGTAACAGTCTATTGATACTTTATTCTGAGGATCATAATTGAAAATCGCTTTCCAAGACCCATAAATCTAGCAAGAATTCCCAAGCTCCTTCTGTGGAAAAAATTTTGATACATCATATTAACCGGCTAAATTAACAGGCTGTTTTGTGACTTGATGAAATGATTTTAAAGCCTTGTTGTATGAAGAGCAACCCAAAGTCTTATCTGACGACAGTAAACTGCACTTATAACATTATTACTTACCGCTTATAACGATGCTGTTGCCGAGGTCACGTTTTCAAATTGATTGCCTCTGGAAAAAAACTATATCCAGATATAACTATGTTAAGGTAGTCTTACTGAAATGCTTTCCCGCCAAAAACAAATTCTAACATCAGCCAATATCCTAGAAAATCGATTATTTTTTTTACGTTATTTTTTAAAAAATTTAGGCATTAGATTATTTACAATCACTCATACTTTATCGCTATATACTAAATTCCGGCTATAAACATTGTAAGTTATTGAATACCTAAGATTGTGAGGAAAAAAAAACATTCTAGAAATAAACAATTTATTTTGATATTGGCTGATGTTAGAAAGTTTTTGACGGGAAAGCATTTCAGTAAGAACCGTTATAAGCGGAGGTTATTATCTCTTTAATCATACGATAATTTCTGCTATGGTATTTTTGTTGTAGCTAATGCAATGTCTTACATACTTATAGTGCAGTTTAAGTTAAAGAACATTCATATCGAAAACAAATCTTTTATTCAGCAAATGTTAAGATAGGCTATTTTATATCATTTTAAACCTTTTTAGTTGTCAGATGAAATAACTGTTGTAATCAACGGGTAAATTACATTCGTCCTAATCATATTTCTGTATTTCACACTAAATGTAGTGCTTAAGTTGCATGTGTAAACAATTCATCAACACAAGTATTGTGTTTAAACACTTATCCCCGTAGGTTATCTATTATTAGATCTGTCGAAGCAAAAATGGCACATAGCTTCATGTGCACGTGTACTTTATGTGTCAACTTTAATAACTGTTCATACGCCTCTAACAATGTGTCTTGCAATTTGCTAAACGCAAACTAATTCCTTAGAGTGTTGGTTAGATTTTTCTACATGTAAACAATGGTATGTGCTATTTATGATAAATTGTTTCACTCACTGTATTATGTGTAAAAGTTTCTCATTCAATGGGAATATAATAACTTTACACAACCTCTAGAGCTATACAACCTGTCACAATAGTATATTCAGTGTATTCCTTGCATGATAAAGTAATATCATTTATTCTTTAAGTATAGATCTGTATACAACTAATTAAATCATGTTAAAAATTGTATTACTTTATATATGTATGATTAAACTATAAACATGTATCTTATTTTTGACAAACAGGGACTCCAATGAATTTTTTTCTTTTACATAATTATGATAATAGTTCGGACTAGAAATAATTTTTTCCTAGATTTTTATACCATTTCATGTATCTGTCTCTATCTATATAACTTGTGTGAACATTTTCCAATCATTTGCTGACACCTTTTTTTCTAGAAAAATTTTTTTTTATTGTGTAAGATGATTTAAAAATGAAAGAAGTTAAACTCTTGTAATTCATATCAGGCTAAAAATCACACTAAATTTGATTCTCAATTTAATACAGAGAATATTTCTTTATTGTCAGTTTTTTTCATATTTTTCTCTTTAAAGTGTCCCAGTTGATCTATCATGTCATGTATACATGTATATGCTAAATGTAACTTGTTTTATTTGACAATATTTGTATTAATTAAAACTCCAGAATTTTCATTGAAATTGGCAGGAATCTTAGGGCATGTTGCTTTAAAATGGGTCAATGACTGTAAAAGGTGCATGTCTCCAATCAGAGCAATATACCATGTTAAGTTAATATAAATTTTTGTGGGAAATGGGGGAACAAATTAAGATAAACTGCTGATTTTAGTGAATACCCTTTGTTTATGATGCTGCTTTTAGATATTTTAGATGCCATTATTCATTTGAATACCGGTTTGATTTGATTTTTTTATCATCATTAAAGACATTTTTAAACTTAACTTGTTTTAGCTATGTAGAGCTGGTAAGGATCTGTCAGTTGTCTTTTACCCACAGTTCAGGTCAAAAGGTCAGCTCTTTCACTAAGTGCCACCTGATAACCAAGTGCCACCTGATCACATTGGGTTGTTAACACTCAAAAGGTCACAACTTTAACCAAGTGCTACCTGATTGCATTGGATTGTTAACACTACAGAGGTCACAACTTTAACCAAGTGGCACCTGTTCACATTGGGTCGTTAACATTCGAAATGTCATAACTTTAACCAAGTGTCACCTGATGACCTTGGTTTGTTAACACTCAAAAGGCCACTTCCTCAGATTGGGTTGTTAACACTCAAAAGATCACAACTTTACCCTAGTGGCACTTGATCAGATTGGGTTGTTAACACTCAAAAGATCACTTAAAAGATGCTTAATTGAGCTAAGATGAATACTGGCAATTATATATTGATATCTTCCTCCAGGTGAGCGAAGAAAAAATGGACCATCATGGCATTCTTGTTTTTGTGTGTATTGGAGGTCAAGTAATGCCATGGCCATGACAATTTTTTTGTGTAATTTGTATACATATACAGAATTATGTTAATCATTTATGTTGTGTATGCTATGCTTAAAACTATATATATATTATTGTCAAACTTGTACTAAGAACCTCATATAAAAAACCTGCCACTAGGCTAGCCTGTTTTGTTCTCAATAGAGCAGTTATAGATTTATAGTGTCCCAAAGTAAAGCTAGTTTACACAGTTCTTTTTTCCCTCATCATAAGCCTGTAATATTACATGGGACGTTATCTAGTTATTGCAAATAAAACGCACATATGCACATGATTATATGCAGGAACTTACAGACACTAAAAGTATTTTATATTATATAATGTTTCAACTCAACACAGTAAGTTTAGGATTAGATCACATATTTGTAGAGGCTGAGAACAATAATGGCCATCACATGGTTTTTGCTTCATATGCCCAGTATAAAATAAATGTTCATATGCAAAGCAAATAAAACATACCTATCAACTGACTGTGGCATCCAGGACAAATGATCTATTACAAGTTTTTATTGATGATAGTTTATGGATCAAATATATTAAGGTCATTGAAATGTTTTGTAAATAATTTTTCAACATTAATGTACAAATTTTATGTTATTGTGGCGTGTCCCATCTTTGTGATGCAGTGCTTAGAAGTGCTATTGAGATTAATTAAGCAGATGAGCCCTTAATGTAAAATGGTGTCTACAATTAATTAAGTCATAAGTGTCTGAACCAAATAAGATGGAATTCCTGTTATATAAAATCATGTTTTTGTACAGTGTCCTATTCGGGCCAGTTAAAACGTCGCCTTTTGAAATGCAAGATTTTGGCTAAATCTTTTCATTTAAAATTTTTAAAAAGGAAAAATGTAGCTTTAGTCAAAGGCTTTCATTTCAACTGTCAATATTTAAACTAACCCACACAGGACTCTTTAAGATTTGTTGTGTTCTCTGTGTTTTTGTGTTAATTATTTATGTTGCAATAGACACAATAATGAATTGCATGAGTAAAATAAAACCGTTTGACATATGAATTGTTTTTCTTTCTTTAATATGTGTGTGTAGTAAAAGGAAGCACACCAAGGTTGAAAATTTAGGCATTTTTGGTATAAATATTATTATCCTTATTATAATTATATATTGTTTTGGCGTTGTCCATCCGTCTGTCTGTCCATCAGTCCGTTCGAATTTCGTTTCCGGACTAGTTCTCTGCAACTACTGGCTGGAATTCAACGAAACTTTATGGGAATCATCAATATCAAGAGGAGATGCGCATATCGTCAGCTTGTTCCAGTCAGACCCTTTAACTCAGAGTTATGGCCCTTGATTAGTTATGCAGTATGCATATAGAGTAAAAATCGTTTCCGCCCTACGTCTCTGCTTCTACTGGCTGGAACTCAACAAAACTTTATGGGAATCTTTAATACCAAGAGGAGATGAGCATATCCTCAGCTTGTCCGGTCCGACACTTTAACTCGCAGAGTTAAGGCCCTTTATTAGTTATGCAGTACGCATATAGAGTAAAAATTCTGCGCTACTTCTCTGCAACTACTGGCTGGAATTCAACAAAACTTTATGGGAACCTTCAATATCAAAGGAGATGCGCATATCGTCGCCTTGTTTCGGTCAGACACTTAACCTCAGAGTTATGGCCCTTGATTAGTTATGCAGTATGCATATAGAGCAAAAATCATTTTCGCGTTACTTCTCTGCAACAACTGGCTGGAATTCAACAAAACTTTATGGGAACCTTCAATATTAAGAGGAGATGAGCATATCATGACCTTGTTTGGGTCAGACACTTTAACTCAGAGTTATGGCTCTTGACTAGTTATGCAGTATGCATATAGAGCAAAAATCATTTCCGCGCTACTTCTCTGCAACTACTGGCTGGAATTCAACAAAACTTTATGGGAACCTTCAATACCAAGTGAAGATGCGCATATCATTGCCTTGTTTGGGTCAGACATTTTAACTCAGAGTTATGGCCCTTGATAAGTTATGCAGTATACAACCGGAGCAATAATTGTTTCCGTGCTACTTCTCTGTAACTACTGGCTGGAATTCAAAGAAACTTTATGGGATACGAGGAGATGTGCATATAGTCGCCTCGTTACGGTCAGACACTATAACTCAGATTTATGGCCCTTGATTAGTTATGCAGTATGCATACATCTCATTGGCATTTCCAGATATTACGATTTAAAACAGAGTTATGGCTCTGTTATTGTCCTGAATATTTATCAAGTTCAAAGAATATTATGCCATGATAAATATATAAATAAAGCCTTATGTCTTCAGTTGTTGTGTTAGTAATAACCAGTACTCGGCGGGGGATATAAATTCAACAAATTTGTTTATTTCATTTTTGGTATATTATATATTATTATATCCCTGAAAGGAGACACTCGTCGGTCAGGGATCCGTTGCATTTTCCTTATCTGGAGCATAAGTTGAGGACTAATGGTCTGAATTCAATACAACTTCATATAATGATCAATTACAGAGTTATTGCCCTTTGTTACCTTTTTCCTTGTCCGAAGCATAACTTGAAAACTACTGGTTAGAATTCAAAACAACTCCATACAATGGTCTGTCAAGCACAATAAGAGGAAAAGCAGTGCACAAGAACCATAATCCATGTAAAATAATTATAGAGTTATTGCCCTTTGTTACTTTTCCGTTGCATTTTCCTTGTCAGGAGCATAACATGAAAACCACTAGGTGGAATTCAATAAAACTTCATGCAATGGCCAAGCACATTGAGAGAAGAGCAGTGCACCATAACTACATCTTTACATATCACAGAGTTATTGTCCTTCATTACTTTTTCTTGTCCAGTGCAAAAAAACAACAACAAAAACTAATGGTTGGATTTACAATGTTCAAGCATAATAAGAGGAAGTGCAGTGCACAAGAACCATAACTCTATCCAGAGTAATTATAGAGTGATTGCCCTTTGTTACTTTTCCTTGTCGCAGAGTATAACATGAAATCTACTGGTTGGAATTCAATACAAGTTCGTACAATGGTCATGTCTATTGAGAGAAAGCACAGTAAACAGGAACCATAACTCTTTCTTGACTAATTTTAAAGTTTTGCCCTTTGTTACTTTTATTGTCCAGTGCATTAACTTGAAAATTAAAGGTTGGAATTCAATGAAACTTCATACAATGGTCAAGCGTAGTTAAATGAAGTGCTGTGCTCAAGAACCATAACTCTATTTGGACTAATTACATAGTTAATGCCCTTTGTTACTTTTTCTTGTCCAGTGCATAACTTGAAAACTAGTAGTTGGAATTCAATTCAAGTTCATAAAATGGCTAAGCACAATGAGAGGAAGTGCAGTGTAAAATAATCTTTACTCCATCTTCAGTATTTGCAGAGTTATTGCCCTTTGTTCCTTTACCTTGTCTGATGCATAATAACTTAAAAACTAATGTTTGGAATTCAATGCAACTTCATACAATGGTCAAGCGCAATGAGAGGAAGTGCAGTGCTCAAGAACCGTAACTCTATCTGGACTTATTACAGAGTCATTCAATAAAACTTTATCAATGGTCAACCACAGTGAAAGGAAATGCAACGTTCAAGAACCACAACTATCTTTAATTGCCAACAACCATAACTCTATTAAAATTCTTTTACAAGATATTCTTTACTAGTAACTTCCTCATTTCCGAAGCAGTCTTGCAAGGGTAATAAGCACAATTAGTGATGGTTCTAGTTTATTTGAGCTCCACTTTGAAGCGAGTGTGAAAAGAAATGTCTACTTATTTGAACCACTTTGAATCTATTTTGTTGAACATGGCCGTGACTCGAAGCCCCAATCACTTTAACCACTAGGCTACCCCCAACAAACTGGTATAACAGAATGTTAGAATATTCAGAAAATGATAACTTCTTACGACTGAGTTTTAACAAGCATACTTATTGAAAATCTCGAGTTTTCAAGTTTTTTGCTTTATAATTCAAGGGCCATAACCCCTGAACAATAGCTGGTTTATCGCACTTTGCCAAGGTTTTGCGCAAATGAATTGTTAACAATCCTGTTGATGTAAATTTTTCATTAAGCCATAAATCATGTCTTGTGGTCATAATTGAGGGTCACTGTCTGTGGATTTATATTAGGTTATTCCGTCTATCCAGGCTATAGCTTATGTTAAGTCGTAACAGCCCTATCCCTTGGTGGTTAAAATTCTGTCATGAAAATCAACGTCGTATGTCTTCAGGACGCTTTCAAAGACCCTTAATTAAATCTAAGACTAGCTAATTTACACAAGTTTAAACAAAATCTTGTGCCAGTTATATTTCAACAACCTCATGAAACTTCAAAATACTGTATGTCTAATGGTATATAATTGTTATTTTCCGCAGTTGTTCGCTCAATTTTAAAACACTGGTATTATACGAGGGGCATTTATAAAGTATTAATCAGTGTGGATTTTTACCATTAATTTGAGCGTAATTGGTACATATTATACATGTATGGAAAGGTAAGACTGTCCTCTACAATTATATGCACGAGAAAACCGTGAAATACCTACGCAGCGAGCGAAATGTTCACTTGAATCGACCACGGTCAGGTACACGGCAGAAAAACAATTTTCAAGACGAGCAAAGAGTGTATTGTAAAATTCGCGCATGGCTTGGTGTTGCTGCACCTGATATTAAATCAGACTTAGACAAGGTTTATGGGGGTAGTGCTCTATCGTATTCCACAGTTAGAAGATGGGTCTGACTTTTAACCTCCGGAAGAGAGACTACAAAAGATGAGGCCCGTCCTGGTCGTCCAGTCACAACAATGACTGACGAAAATATTGCTGCTGTTAAAAAAGTTGTTGAAGATGATGCCCGCTGTACAGTGGAGGAGATAGGTGTTTTATGTGGCATTAATTCGTCATCGGTTTTCCAAATATTGACTCGCGTGTTAAAGTTACGCAAGGTTTGCGCCCGGTGGATACCCCACCATCTCACTGAGGACCAAAAATGGGAGCGCGTGCGAATTGCGTCACAGCTGCTCGATAGGTACAAAAATGCTGACCAAAACCGTATGTATAAAATTTTGACTGGTGATGAAACATGTATTTTTATGAGCCTGATGGTAAAGAAAAAAATAAGGTGTGGGTCGGTGAAAATGACGAACGGCGCCAAAATGCCCGTAGAGCTCGCACCTCAAAACGCATTATGTATGCATTATTTTTTGATTGCCATGGAATGGTGGCTCGAATTCCTATACCATAAGACAGTAGTGTTACCGGAATCTTTTATCGAGATTCAGTTCTTCTGCTGTTGTTAGTCACTATACTACAGCCCGTCCCCGTACCGGCGTACGCGGAATCAAACTCCTGCATGACAACGCACCTGCCCACAAGTCAGTGGTGGTAAAGTCATATCATAGCGACAATAGCATTGAGACTTTACCACACCCTGCATACAGCCCAGATCTTGCTCCATGCGATTTTTGGTTGAATCCTTACATCAAGAACTACATAAGAGGTCGTCGTTTTAAATCTCGGCACGCCGTCGGCAGCGCGCTTTTCCAGTGTCTAAACACTATACCCAAAGAGGCCTACCGAAAAGTATTTTCCGATTGGATTTGGCACTTGGAAAAGTGCATCCATGTCGAAGGGGAATACTTTGAAGGGTTGGTCGAACAATTTTCGTAGAAATATTACGTCTACGACTAAAGCGCCACACTGATAAATACTTTATAAAAGCCCATATATATATTTTATTGTTTATTTGTACATGATGTATTAACAGAATTTAACGTATTATCTTAAGCATAATTACAATGTTCATACAAAAGGAATGGCCCGAAAGTTATACCATCATTAGCTAGGCTTTTCCCCCTACTTAGGAGTATACATGTAATGTTGTGTAATCAACATAAAAAACCTTAAATGTGTTTCTAACATAAGACTAAAAGGCCCATTATGCCAGAGAAATGCTTTTATTTTTTATTTCTCAAGAGTTTTTTAAATTTTCGATGTACATGTATTTTTATAGTTTCCAAAAAGTTACTCATTGGCCATCACAATTACCTGAACCATCTTTTTCTTCTGTCACTTTTTGGTAATTAGTACAATTTTAGAGTCAAATTTTGTACTGAGGTCAAAATACTACTTTGTTTATATTTTGCTACATTTCTGACAAATTATTTCAAACTAGGTGCTACTTTCTTCAGGTAACAAGCATCTTTTACATTGTATACTCTAAAACCATTTTTTATTTAAATGTTGTAAAACTTATATTTCCCCTTTCTAAAAAAGTAAAAATATATTTGTTTCTGAAGCATAATTCCCTTTTTAAAAAACTCATAACAAAAATGCACATCTGACTTTCAATAAAGTTGATAATTATTCACTGGCAAGTTCTGATCGAACCCTAATTACCCTTGCTGACACCAGTGATGGAAGATGTCCGAGACGAACCGCACCTTTCAGCACACTCATACTCGGTTCATTTGGAAATATTAATTCCTTATCAGCAATTCGTCTTCTCATTTCTTCTTGAACGATTTTACTTTCACCAAAACCACCAACAAGCAATACACTCCCAACTCTTTCCATATCAGGTCTCGCGAGAATTTTTAACACGTGATCAATCATGTTTTTGATAGGTTCATCAAACCAACTCTTCACGATGGAGGCGTCTATGTTAATTTCGCGCTCATTTAAAGACACCATCTTTGTCAGACCTAACACAGATATTTTATCTGCTATACCACATCCGTTTTCCTCTTCAAATAGTTGATTTAATGATGAATAAAACTTAAATGCTATTTTGCCTTCGCTTTCAGGCGTAACGGTTCTCTTTTTGGCTTCAAAGTCCTTCAATAAATCGAAATAATCCATCATCTTTTCTGTTTTAAATCTTTCCATTGTGTCTTTTCCAACAATTTGTGTGAGCCATTCAATATAGTTCTTGTCGACAACGGTACCACCCCATGGACCTCCACTTGCTTTATACAGTTCTTTAATAGTTTGATCACTCAATTTCTCATGTACGTACATGTCCGCGGTTCCCCCTGCAAAATATGATGAATCAATTTATATGATGATAAATGGCTTTAAGATACTCACGTATTTATTACAGCTATAGTCATTGTTTGTACTTATAGAAGAAGAATCTTTATTTTGCAAATTAACTCTCAAAAGAGTCATGTACAAGCATTCATAATATATACAATAACATGTATGCATAAGTACTAGTAAATAACTAATTACATAGCAAGATGACGTGACTGCAAGTATTTCTTATCTTTCATTATTATAATGGTTACCATTGATTATATATTTAATTTACAAGTTATTTACTTTTTGAGAGATTCTACATTCAAATATATAATAATAAGAAATACTTCGTGTATGTATTAGGCTTGCAATCACGGGAGAGACATTGTCAGCATCTATTACATAGTATACTTTTAATTCTCTTCCATACACTGGTCTTTGTATTACATTTACTAATCTAAGCTATATGGTTTTGATTTATTGCAATAGAAATATGGCACAAAATATCGAAATTATACAAACAAAACAAAACAAATGTTACTTCTAAACTATACTTTGAACACATATAATGCTTCAAACTTGATACAAGTAAGACCAGTGTATGATTTGAAACTTACAAATTCATAGCCTTTATAATCATCGTGTTACTTAACCTATTATACATATAATACACAAAGAATTGCAATGTATCAATAATACATCTATATACAATTACATGACAGCTAATATTCGTACATTACACACATAGAAGTACAATACAATGTGTCAATTAACTTCTATGTACGTTTGCATGGGGCTTGATATTCGATTCGCATAAAACATATATATAGAACTTTAAATTAAACATTTTTGTACATTTACACGAGAATTGTTTGTAACTGTTGTCTAATATGGAAGGCATGGTATATAAACATAGCTAAATTTCTAATTTACACTTTTATTATTAGAATAATCTGATTATGGCTAATTTGTAAGTTATATATACTTGTATTAAGAAATAAGTTTATCTTGATAGTGCATTTATTTTGAAAAATCATTTTGAAGAGAAATTTATTTTAAATAGAATGTTCAATACTGGTTTGTCTTTTGACAGACAACTATAAGGCCAAGAGCCGCAGTGGAAATGATAATTATCTTTAGCGTACACATTTTCAAACGATTAAACCTTCTTTTTCAAAGATCTTTCGCATCTTTTGATATTATGACCTTAGTATTACTAAATTCATCGCCATTGTCGTCAACAATAGAAAATCATGAAACTTTCATATAGACCTATATCAAATCAACGGAACATAGAAATAAGCATAGCCAGATTTTATAATATACCTCCTAAATCCACAACCATGTAAGGTTTTAATACGGGTGGCTGGTCAGCTCTAGCAAACAAGGTTGTTACACTCTGCCAATAGATGGAGGCCGCTTCCGGTTCAGAGCAAAGTCTGAGTCGTGAATCTGATAGTCCTGCCTGAAAAAAATATTTGAATTCAATGCATCAGTCATATGTTACCCTCAGAAGAATAACGCTTGTAAATTATAATGATTATAGTTCTGTCTAAAAATAATAGTTATGACTGTAACGCAACAGTCCAGTCATTCTTAACGCGGGATCTTCTTTGGCCTAGAACATACTTTAGAGCAATCAGGTGGTAAAATCCCCACTAAAACACAAAACGCCAAGTCATTGCAAGGCGGTAGGACATGTATCTCCTGCATATTAGGCACCCTTGAAGAAAACCACCGCATTATTTTTTTAAAGGGACTCCACTGAGGTTTTATTACAAGACAGGACTGGAAACCATTTTTAGCTCGACTATACGAAGTATATGGAGAGCTGTCCTACTCGCCCCGGCGTCGGCGTCCGCGTCCAGATTTTAGATTAAAGTTTTGGTGCAGTAAAATATTTTTCACTATAACTTTGTCATTTCTTAAGGTATCAACTTCAAACTTCAAATATATGTTCCTTATCATCAACCACATCTTATGTGACAAGGTTCATAACTCTAGCACCAATATTTTCAGATTTATCTCCCCTTGAACTTAGAATTTTCCTTAAAAAATACTATTTTTTACTGTTACTTCTTTATTTCATAAGGGATCAACCTCATACTTCAAATGTATGTACCTTATCATCATCCCCATCTTATGTGACAAGGTTCATAACTCTAGCACCAATATTTTCAGATTTATCTCCCCTTGAACTTAGAATTTTCTTAAAAAATGCTATTTCTTACTGTTTCTTCTTTATTTCTTAAGGGATCAACCTCATACTTCAAATATATTTACGTTATCATCCTCCCCATCTTATGTGGCAAGGTTCATAACTCTAGCACCAATATTTTCAGATTTATCTCCCCTTGAACTTAGAATTTTCTTAAAAAATGCTATTTCTTACTGTTTCTTCTTTATTTCTTAAGGGATCAACCTCATACTTCAAATATATTTACGTTATCATCCTCCCCATCTTATGTAGCAAGGTTCATAACTCTAGCACCAATATTTTCAGATTTATCTCCCTTTGAACTTAGAATTTTCCATAAAAAATATTATATTTTTTACTGTTACTTATTTATTTCTAAAGGGATCAACTTCATACTTCAAATATATTTACGTTATCATCATCCACATCTTATGTGACAAGGTTCATAACTCTAGCACCAATATTGCAAGAATTATCTCCCCATAAACTTAGATTTTTTTACTAGAAAAATGTTATTTTTTATTATAACTTTTTTATTTTTAAAGGTATCTACCTCAAACTTCAAATACTTATTCCTAATCATCAAATACATTTTATGTGACAATGTTCATAACTCTTGAAGCAATATTTACAGATTTATCTCTCTTTGAACTTAGGATTTTCTTTAAGAAATATAATAACTTCTTTACTTTTTAAGGTATCTACTTCAAACTTCAAATATATATTTCTTATCATTACACAAATGTTGTGTGACAAGGTCCATAACTCTAGCATGACTATTTCTAGAATTATTCCCCTTGATCTTGGAATTAATGTTAACAAATGTTATTTTTTTACTATAACTTAATACATAATTATACATAATTGATTTTTCTTTCATAGTTTTGTCCTCATTACTGCGTCCAGTATTTTATTAGTCGGGCTTCGCTGTCTCCTGTGACAGCTCTTGTTAGTTATTACTGTTTCATTTGATGTAAGTCTAGACTTATAACTTGAGTGCAAAATTTCAGGTTATTAGCTTACTCCGATTTTACAGAAGAATTATTCAATATATATACATGTATATAAATCGTTTAAAATAGCACTAAATTTGAAAAGCGTTGCAATGCTTTTCATTCAAATCGGACAAAGAATAGCACAACATGCCATCTTTGATCTATTTCTGAGTATATTTCTTCATAATCTATTGCATATTTTGCTGTTTAAGTGCCCTAGCTGATCTATGGGTTAATATTATATGTTTTATATGATTTTTGGACATCAGTGGAGTTCCTTTAATTTAACTCGGTAGTGCAAGACGGAGAGTACATGCACTTTCCCAGAATATCAATTTTTCTTTTTTTCTTACCTAAAGAAATCGCTAAGTGTGATTTTTTAAATAGCGAAAAGTAAACAAAGTATTATTATGGCTTCCATACTAATTGAGTGACAATCACTATAACTGTACTGATTTCAAAAAAAAAGCAAAAGACGAAAATGATGATTCGGGTAATAGCCAATGAGTATCATTTTGAAAACTATATATAAAGTACATAAAAAGAGAAATAAAAGCATTTCAGGGCATAATGGGCCTTTAGGTCATCTTATCTGCAACATTCTCCAAAAGTTCCAGGTATTCTATCTCTAATAATGTGTACTAGTATACAGCCTCATTAAAGCTCCTATAAATATTTTATCTGATCTTTAGTCCTATATGTACTGGTATAAATCGGGGTAATTACTGTACAAGGAGCACCAGCAGTTATTTGCTATATACATGTATATAACCTTAGTCGCGAGTATCGTGAGCCATTTGGGGTGGCCCAGTGGTTAACGCGTAGGACTATTAATCTATTTAAAGAGTGCACTTGTGCGTGGATTCAAAATTGTCAGGAGCAATCCGTTGTTTCCGTGAGCAAGACATATTACACTTATTGCTTAGTATACTGGTTGATTCCAGGGTGTTTAAGCTACGTTCCAACACAATCCAACTAAAACAACTTAATATATATATATTAACTAATTCAATCGGGAAAAAAGAGTTTCCAAAAATATTTAAAGACTTGAAACATTCTTTATACCTCTACTGCCGCCTCCCGCATAAACATTTTAGATTTTTCCGTCCATATTGCAGGAACAGTAAGCACATATTTGACGTCACGCTCCGTCACAAAGCCGCTCGTAAAGAGGTCCGCAGATTTAAATAGATGGTCCTTCAAAAAACGAATCGCCATGGTGAAAATTGTTACAGCAGGTAAAGCAACTCCATTGATGTCCGTGACAAGTGTTTTTCTTGAAATGTTCTGATAATAAATAATGTAAATTATGTAATTTTGTACATGTAGAAGTAAAAATACAGTAAAAATAATATATGTTCTACAAGAAAGATAATTCATTTTACATATTGGTAGATTACAATTTTTTTTCTACAATAAGATAAAAAATGCCCATTAGATATATACATGTATGCGGTCCCGTATTTTGTGCCTAGTATTGGCTACACTACGTGCATGACCTGTTGATAAAAGCATGGCAGACGGACAGCAAGTTCAGATTTTTTTCTCTTTTTCTTTCTTTCTTTTACCTTTTTATGGATTTCAAGTCACCACAACACCGTCATATTGCGACTTTCAAGCTTTTCTGGTGGAAGAAGACCAGAGGTGCACCTTCGTGCATAATTTCAGGCACGAACGGGCACCTAAGCAAAATGTTCTGGATTTTTCTCACAGTGACCGCGAGTGCTATACTGTGAGTGTCGTAATGATTCTATTTGCAGACAAGACCCAATATTTCACCAGTTAACATAAAATTAAATGGTATACCTCGTCATTATGTAACAGCATCTTAAATCTGCGGAACAAAAGCCAACCATGGTGCGAGTTTTCCGCAGCTAGACTGTAATACTTATTCTCCGCATCATAGCCAAACGAATCGAACTCCTGGTCCGGTGTTAGCAGAACACATGTGGGAGTTTTCATCGAGTTCGTGTTACCGTCGCCCCAGGCCTGGTTTGTCTGGACAAGGGTTGGCATATCGCGATACGAGAAGGCATATCCGCTGTATGTTGTACCAAAATCAAACGCCGCCACTACCATATACGGTGAAAAGGTGGAGGCCATCTTTCTTAAATTTGAAAAAAAAATCACTTTTTTATAAAACTTATAATAGTGATTAGAGGGGTACAAACTGCTTTTTATATTTATAAACCAGATTTCAGTCGTTGAAAGAAAAACAGTTTTACAGTTATTTAGTGTAATAGTTTATATAGCTTTTTTTAAGAAAGAATTAACGCATTGGCTTTAAAGGTAAACTTGTAGACAAACGGTTTGGCTAATTGATCACCTCATTTTAAATTTATTGACTTTCCATTTGGGATCTCTCTGCCTACATGCATGATATGTTGTTACATGAAAAATAATAAATCTTGAAATAATCGTATGGAATAACAGTTTCTACATGTATATCGTACTAAGCTTTACTAATATGTTTATACATCACAAACTTTCGTATATACATTGAATGGTTCTAGAAAAAAAATTAAAGGCCCATTATGCCTCAGAATGTTTATAATTTTTAATTCTCAAATGGGCTTTTTATTTTTGGTGTACTTTTATATTTTTGGTGTACTATTATATTTTCCAAAAAGTAACTCATTGACCAATTACCTGAACCATCTTCTTTATCTGTTGCCTTTTTGGCATTTTGTACAGATACATACTTGTATGGAAGTCGAAATACTACTTTTTTAACATAGTTTGCTTTTTTTGTTAGACAAATCATTTTATATTAAACTCAGTGCTACTTTCTTCGGGCTACAAACATATCTACATTGTAGCATGCTTTAAAACCAATATTAGCATAATGTTTGCCCTTTCTTAAGAAGTAAACATTTATTCGTTTCTGGGGCATATTTTGCCTTTAAAACATTATGGAAGTTATCTGTTGTGTAATACACAAAATGTATATAGTTTGGTGACCTTTCTATTGAAAATGTGTCAGAGTTAGATTGTATGTACCAATAAATGCACAGTGCTTTAACTTGGTGGCAGGTTTTAGTTATCACACTGACTGTAGACTGGCTACATTTTTATGGCGTTTACTTCATTAATTATTGTGACGACAGGGAAAGGGATAATGAAAAAGTCGCGTTTAGATGCTCAAACATTGGTTACATTTTTTCTGAGGTTTCATATTGTGACGACAGAAAAAGTGTTTCTATGTTTTCCTTGTGATCGAAAAGAGAAAGAACATCAAAACACTCAGCAATTTGAATTATTGAAGGTGGCTACGCTCCCTCTCACAGATCAGATAACCCCGTGTGTTGATGCTATTAATAATCGATCCAAAGTTTAAGTGAATATGGAATGTGTGCGTATTTCTCGATATTTCCTTCTATTTAAAGCGCACGTGATACTAGGGGGAGGCGTTTATATTTTCTCCTGATCAATACTGTACCCTTGCCTTAGAAAACGCTTTTTTTTACAATTTTAACAGCAGTTTCTAATACAAACATGAAATGCAGAAACAACACTTTAAACAGCTACACCCCTGATTAGCCAATCTGTAATCGGGTCGTAATGTAGGACGCACACTAATCTAGGTCACTGTAAAACTGTTGACATTATATTCTTTAAAGGGAGATATATGAAAATATTTTAAGTGTTTAGTTTTAAATAGACATAGATCTACATAGGAGTACAAAAATAGGAAGATATATAGATCGATCTGTAGACAAATAAATGTATATACTTGTATGTTCCTGTAAATATCGATGAAATATACGTTTAATCATACATGTATGGTTGGAAAACATGAAATAAATAAATCTATGAAACTTACTCACATGAAATCATTCAATATAAATCCCTTTCCGAATGTATTACATCAAATATACTGTAACGCATGTACAACGTTTAAATGTAATGAATGATACAAGATTACATGTGTACTGTATGTAAATAAATACATTACTCATTTCAAAGAGATAACCAATCAACAGCCATTGGTGGAAAATGACGTCTGATTTATTTTCGTTTACCGCAAACATTTTGAAATAAATTATTCTAATTACATGTAAACAATGGCAGAGACTAAGTGATCGAAATTTAAGAAGTCCCATTAATTATGCCTAAAATTCGTGAAATTTTTTAAACTGTGTTCAGATTAAATATTGCAAACGGGACTAATAATCCAAGGAAAAAAAAGAGGTCAAAATATGCAAAAATAGCTGTAACTGCGTTAGTCACGCAGTAGAAATAATTATTAAACCCTGAAGATATACACTAAGAATTCAATAGTTCATTATGGCATACACGTAATTGAAAGGCTATATGACCCTTATGAATGTCACTGACAAACTTTTTTGTGGGGTTTTAACCAGTAGCGCACTTTTGAATAAAAGCACAAAAATACTTTATAGATGGACCCCTTGATCGTTTTTTCTTTTTAGAATCATGAAAAGTGTCATGAAAATGCGAAGAAAGTTCCTGTCGAAATAGTAATATGTTTATAAAGTTAAAGTTAATGTTCAGACTTGGTGTAGAATAAATTTGATATCAAATATCGGTATATTTATCAATACAGAATTATAGTTATCGTAATAGAGCATCGATGCACCTGCCATTATTTAAATATTATTGAAACTGTTATCTATTTATTCTGCCTTTAAGAAAGTATGAAAAAGAAAACAAAATTGATAACTTCTCGCAAAAATACGTTCACAATGAAAAAATCCATCTATTGTGTGGATAGATATATTTTATAATCTAGTTCTAATCTAATATACCAAAACTGATGGAAATTAAAACGCGCACAATGGATTTAATTTTTGTTTCACTGATGTTTTATCAACTCGCCATATCACCGGCAAAAGCAGCAAGAATGCTTGCTCAAGGTAGTAATTCTATTGTCTTAATTGATTGTAACATTTATTTACATATCCGTGGTAAATACACTATTAATCATAATTCTGCATTCCATGCTACTTATATTCACTATTTAACTTTATTTGGGACATGCAGATCAAAACATTTATACAGTATTGACAGAAACATATGCTTAACTGTTTTGCTTGATGAACTTTAAAACTTACAGATGTGAATAAATGAGTAGACAACACGACCAAAATGTCAATCTATGTGCATGACCAATTTATATCTTTAATAACGTCAAATCAGAAACTAGAAAGCTGAACCTAAAACCGAGTGTGTCAAAAACATTTGTCTAATGCATGGGCATACATGCATGTATTAAAAAATCAAAATAACATACAAACCAGCTTACCTGGAGAAAATGTAAATTGTTATGACTCGGTAACCATTTTGCCAAGTTTGCAACCATTTCGCTGGCTTGAAACAAGTGTACAACCACTTCATGTCGCTGTTGTTTTATTTGTCATATTTCCTTTCACATTCACCTAGACTAACCTAGATTTGACATGATAACTTGCTGTTTTCAGGTTATTACGTGAAATTTGTATGTGACCTACATGGCTTGATTCGCCCATTGTATTGGTAGGTTTTGAAAAAAATACGAGTGATCATTGCAACTAGATCAATACTAGATAAAAGCGAGGAAGACATTTGAAAAGAACATTTTCTGTCATTAAAAAGAAAAGTTTGTGAAGGCAGTGATTTTAGCAATGCTAATCAAATCACTGTGAAGATTTTGGAAACTCAACTTGTTGACTTAAAAGCAGTGGACTAGAGAAAAGTAAATTGTATTAAATATATACTGCTGTTTTACTTAATACACTAAATATTTTATTTTATTTCTAGATAGTCAGTTACAGCATTTCGCAATATTCACTGACGTCATGTACCCTTCCACCAATCATACAATCGGATCTCCCTGTCACCTTCCTCTCGACGCTTGCGCAGAGCTCTGTTTCAAGAAATCATATCACGTGACCATTAGACGCCGCACATTGAATCATCTTGCCCCTTACATTAACGAAAAACTCCGAAATAGTGAACGAGGAATAAGAAATACAAGGTCAGACAGAGGTGATACGTGTAAGGCCTTTGAATATATCGTCTCTACTGGGTATTGTATTTTACTGAAGAAAGCTGCGGCCACAGATAGTCAAGGTTACCAGTCTCTTAAAACGGCTTCAGGAACAACATATTTTGAGCTTTCAAAATGTGAGTTGTATTTTATATCAAGCTCTCAAAAGCTACGTTCCCAAATGAGTACATGTATAAAAAAATACATGCAAATACATTGAAAGTTTTATGTAATATACGTACCGAATGAACACATCTGCGGACTAAATTCTATTAGCTACACACCATTGTGTTGTCTTTTGCTTATGCCTGGTTTGCTTTGGCTTAAACAAGGTGTCCACTACTTCTCACTATAATATAGTCTTTAATCGCGTTGTTGTTTGGTTACTTCCACAAATATTAACAAGCAACTATTTTGTTTATTTCAGAAAAAAAATGAAACGATATTTGCTAACAATGCTTATATTTTTGTACATTTATATACATGTATATTATGTATGCTATTTACACTTTTTGTTTGTCTATTTTGATTTATTTCAAGCTGTACAAGATTTGTACATGAAGAAGAATCACGTGGTTTTTGACGGCCAAGACAAGTACAACAATATTATATCGAATATTTCGGCTGAAAAGTGTGCCTATGAGTGTATAAATGCTCCAGACTTGTCGTGTAATTCCTTTGTGTATAGCACAAGCTTGCACGTGTGCGCTCTGAGTAGTCACGTGGCAAGTAAGAACGTCCACTTTAAGACGACAAGCTTCTACGATTTCTACCAGTATTCTGGACGTAAGTTTGGATTTTATAGTTTCCATTTTCCGATGGAGTAAACTAATTGATGTTTTATTAAATTTATAGCGCATTTGTTCGCTTTTTTTTCTAAAATTAAAATAATTGAATGGTCTTTTAAGTGTTAACAATCAATTTCTTTTTTAGGATGGCCTTGCAACGTAACATTACATTGGCAATATAAGCCTCGTGTAATAGCTTCCCAAATGTATCCGTATGCATACCATGGCAACACTTCCTGTCATTTGAAGATAATAGCGCCACCTGGGATGAAGATTGTCATGCATGTCAAAGCCTTCTTCACGAATAAAGAAATAATCAGCGGAAGTGATGGGTTGTTTATATTTGATGGGGACGAACGTGCTGAAAATATGGTAGAATCGTTTTGCGTAAAAAGTGATAACATGCGTCATTCGTCAATTACGCCGTCAAACAAGAGCATCGCCGTAAAGATAGTACAGCAACAAAATATAGTGATTACAAGATTAATATATGACTTCTGTAAGTGTTTGTTTGAGATGAGAAGAAGCGAAAACCTGACGTACAATCTGAATTTATGCTATAACACAATAAAGCCCTTATTGGTTTAAATATATTTTTATTCAAGGCATTTACATATGTACACTTTTAAGCAGAAAGGAATTGGACCAAGAGCTTCAAAATTCTAGTAGTCCTCTCCGTAAGATTTTAATTGCAAGCGTATAGAAAATAGTAATTTAGTAAATAAAACGTAATAAATATAACGAAGACAAAACATGGCACACCATTTTTAAAAATATATATATATTATATTCATTTTCACATAGGCTTGCATTTAACATTTTCATCACCTTTATTCTTTGTTTTTACACAGCACCAGTAAATTGTGCAAGTGCGCCATGCCTATTCAACGGTCACTGTGTCGAAACTGCAGATTCCTTTGAATGCATATGCCCAAATGGCACCAGTGGTAAAAGATGTAATGAGTACGTGGGTGATTGTTACAGAAAACCGTGTATAAATGGAACATGCGTTCCTGCAGGAGGCACATCCGGTTACCAGTGCACTTGTTTCGCTGGGTTTACTGGAGCAAACTGTGAATATAATATAAACGAATGTTTCAGTTCGCCTTGTATCAATGGCTTGTGTAAAGATCTTATCAATGATTACACGTGCATTTGTAATGACCCATACACTGGCCGACATTGTGAAATCAACAAAAGTCTAGCGGAATGTAGCAGCCATATTTGTCATTATGGCGCATGCGCGATGAACGAATCCGGATCCTACTGTCAATGTTTCCCAGGATTTACAGGTCTATCCTGTGATACTGATATTAATGACTGTAATGATTCGCCTTGTTCGCATGGAAAATGTAAAGACCACGTAAATAGTTACAGTTGTAACTGTTCGACAGGATATGCTGGGAAAAACTGTGAAATTCTTGTAGCAGATCCTTGCCGCGACAACCCATGCTACCATGGATATTGTTCAGTCAATAAAAATGGTTTTACCTGCATATGCGAAAGTGGATTTACCGGTTCGAGATGTGAATATGAAACAAGTCTATGTTTAACAGAATGTCGTAACGGTAAATGTTTCAATGTGAATGGTTCCTCCTACCCTCGGTGTATCTGCTATCGTGGTTTTACAGGAACATATTGCGAGACTAATTGTGAAAACAATACATGTAGCGTTGACAACACGGATACTAACATTTCTATGAACAAAGACGGTTTTACTACCACATCAAAGACCGGTAGATATTCAAAATCTTATCTATCGCCTCTTCGATACTTCTTTACTTCGCCATCGATTTTACCTTCATTTTCAGTCACTAGAATACAGGGACATCCAAATATTCCGGTCACACTAACTACCAGACGCAAGCACTATAATCTTTATCAGAACGTATCTAAGTTGTCTCATAATCAAATACATAAACTTACAAGTCTGCAACCTTTACAACACACCAATAATATGATATCGAAAACAAACGGAAATACAAATTCAACAATGGCTGCAACCATGTTTGTTTATGCCACTAAATCTTCAGGTTCTAAACATAGACCTTCTGAATCATCTAAAGCACCGACTGGATATGTTCAAGCAATAAATGAAATTAAAGCATCTACTTCTGTAAGTCGTTTAAGTACATATCGCACACATAAAACTGGCAATGATCTAACGACCATAAAGACTGACCCAGTGCCAGGAACTAGTAATACCTTGACAACATTCAAAACGACCAGGCCCTCTGGTAAATATATAGACACTTTTGTCACTCATTTAGGGTTAGTGACAACCACAAACCCCTCCGTTTTAAATGTGTTTAAAACTACACGTGCATATGCGCCTTCCATGGCAGTATCCTCAAATGGACATAGATTGAAGACAGGCTTTCCTAATTCAACTGCGTCAACAAAGCATTGGCTAAATACAATTTCCTTAAATACTTCAGCCTCATCCCCGTTGTTTCAAACTAACTTTTCAAATACCTCATCTCCAACAAAAAATTGGTTAGAAACAGTCTCACCAAAAATTGCAAGTTCAACAAAAAACTGGCTAAATTCAGCTTTTCTTCAATCTTCAGCACCAATAAAGTATTCTGTATCTACAACCCCGTCAATGATTGCATCTTTAATAAAACACGGGTTAATTACATCCTCACCATCCCCTGTGTCGCAAACAAGCCATTGGTTTAAAACAGCAGGTACTTTGAATCAGGGTAAATTTGATGATATTTCTACATCTAATGTTCCGTATCAGATATCTACTGAACAAAAGCACGCATATTTTGCAGCATCAAGTCATAGAGAATCAATATCACCCGCTACAACTTTAACAACCGGAGATCCAACAATACAAAATACCCATGGAAATTATTCTGACAAAATGATAACTTCGACTGCTATTGATACAACTAAAAGTACCAAGCTAGATGCTTCAAAAGATACACCTACCAGCATACCGGAAACAAGTTTCAAAAACAGGAAAACTACCATTAAAAATCCGATAGCACATTTTGAAAAACCAAACCCTACCAAACATAATGAAACAATAACGACATTGAATGATAAGCTTACTTCTACTGTTATGAACATGAAGAGGCCGGTTACAAGTGCTACACACAATCAGACGATGGACATCCATGGAACATCACTGAGATCTTTCACAATTACCTATAACAAATTATCTGTTACCAAATCTACTTCTTCTGTTGACCAGCAAAAACATCTTTCATATGTGGCTACAACGCAAGAAAGTCATAAACTTGGCTCATCTAATGCTGTTACAGAAAATGATAACACAACTGACCATGGCTATGTCCACGTAGAGAATACTTCCACAGTGGCTACAAAAGGTGAATTATTTTAGCCTTTTTTTAGGGCATCATTTTATGAATTTGTTGAATTGAACATTACAATATAGCAACTGCAACCCAATTTATCCGTTTAATTTGACTTTTCTTTTACTTTTAACTGATTTTCCGCGCCTTGAAGGTTACAATATCATCATTGAATTGCTTATATAGCGGGACAATGACCTCATAAGCTGCATCGGTATCTTTAATGTTCTTGCACGCGATTGATAAATATTATTTTGCTTCTGTAAGTGATTGCATGCTTTTATTTAAGATACATTATTACTCAGAAAAGTGTTTTTTTTTTCATTTTTAAGAAAGAGCAAATATTGGTTTTATAAAATGTGATTTTAAAGCATAAAAGCGTGCTTATCACCTGAAGAAAGTAGCACTGAATGTAAATTATTCGTCATAAAATAAGCAAAATGTAAATAAAGTAGTATGTTGACTTCCATACAAAATCACCATAAACTTACTATTTGCCAAAATGTAACAGAAGCAAAAGATAGTTTAGGTAATTGGCAAATGACTAACGTTTTGGAAAGTATAACAAGACACCAAAAATAAAAAGCTTTTGAGAAATACAAAATAAACAATTCTGGGGCATAATAGGCCTTTAAATAAATTTATTCGGTTTAAACTTTCCTGATTGATTTAAATGATATTATCTTTATGTTCCGTAAAATTTATAATATTCTATATATCTTAATCCAAATATATAAAGCAAACTAGTATCTGTCTCTTTCGACCATTTCTTTCTGAGAAACTGCTTCAAACCTTACACTTTTGTTAAACATATATTCAGCATTAATTGTCTGCATCTATATTCAATTTCAAATTTGTTTATATAATTCTTAAATATTATTTATCTTTTGTGATTTTTTTCTTCCGGCTACCATTTCCGTCTACTGTCCAGGCGACACTGTTAGTGACGTTATCACTGTGGAATCAGTTATAATTGGAGCGTTGTTCGTTGCTCTGATATTGGTTGTGTCTGTTGCCGTGTTTATGCTCTATCAACGACATCGAAGGTATAAAAAAGGCATTTGTGTCATACTTAAAACCTATATATAGACAAATTGATCTTTACACAGTTTATATCTAAGTGGCCTTTACTTCCAGTATAGAACCAGGCCAGCCTTTACATTTGTACAAACTGACCAGATTCAGTTTTTTGTATCATATCATGTGTAATGCAAAAGATAGCAAATGCAAATACATATGGTGATACAAATGACTTCTTTTGTTGATTGACATTTGTTCTAAGTTTTGAAACATACAGGTTAAAAAATATGTAAAAAGAAGTGATGTCTGAATAATTTTATTCATGTTATATTTTGTTTGTAATTCATTTGTGTTAACATATAAATTTTATATGGGATGTTCCATCTGAATGTATCGTGAACCTTTAAGAATCTTTGAAGAAGATAATATAGTTCAAGAATGCATTAATTAAATGGAAGAAGGTATTGAGTATCTGCAATATACAAACTATAATTTTATATTCAGGAGAAAAAGGTTCATGAAAAACAATTATCAATATTTCAGTGGCACGTTGTATATTACGTCTCCACGTCATTCAATGGGTAGAAATATTAGAAGCGTCAAAGATTTGTATTCAGAAAGGACGAATGCTGCTGATGTTAGAACAAGGTACTGTCACATGTTGAACAGCAACATTGGCTTTCTATAGTTTTGTTTAAAAGCGGAAACGCTACTAAATTAATTGATTTTATATGGCCTGCAAAATAAATGTGCATATACCGACGTAAATGTTCATAAAAAAAATGTACTAATCTGAGATGATTCGTATGTTTAAAAAATGTCGTTGTGAATTTTATATAAGAATGTGTATGTACTTGAATAAGTATTCTATATTACAGTTACAACTCAACTTGGAAATAGGGGTATTTTTCAGCACTAATTTATAAAGTTCTAGTGCAGATGGATCGGATCACAACACACTGTCCCTTTTTAATTAAATGTTTCTTTCTCAGTGGAATACAACAAATAATATATAAAATATGCACAGGTTATCAAGTATATATTAAAAACAGTAACACATATTTCTAATGGAAAGCCACAATGTTATCACTTGGAAATCTAAATTCTTACTGTCCAATTTTTTTTCCTTTTCTAAATTTCTAAATTGGATTCGTTTTACACTGACCAATAGAATTTTAACATCTTTGTTTCTTAAATAACAAAATTACCAATCAGGTTTCAATACAAAATAAAGTAACATAGCAACATGGACTTTATAACAACAATCATCACCTGGACATTTTATCAGTCATAAGGTTTAATATCTTAATAAGTACAGACAGCTTAATTCACATTTATAAAACTTTTAGCACAATTGATTGGACAAAGAGGAAAACACACATTTAATCTTCCAGTTACATAATTATTAATTTGACATCTGTTATTAAACTATTAGACATTTATAACTTTAACATATTTGATATTTCACACATTCTTTGAACTTTCAGTCTTTTTAAATAATAAAAAAAAAACAATTCTAAAAGTAAATAACATGCATTATTGTTACGTAATAGAATTTCTCTGTTTTTCGGCTGTACAACAATATGCCTCATAGAGGAAAGTTTCCTATTGACTTATGTGTCTCTTATTTAATCCATCTGTTCATGCTTTGAATTTTTCAGCTACACATACACTTATATATCACTAGTACAAATAAGCATGTGAATTTTAGAAAACAAATGATAATAAATGAAATGGTTATATTCCTGTATTATCTACAGGCAAGAGTTAAAACCTCGTGGTGTTTCCAGCAAGCTGTATGATAGACAGCAAAACGTTAGGTAAATACCAGATTGTGAATAATTATAATAAGGAAAAATTTTCCTTCTTCCAATTGCTATCAATATTATTTTGTGTCGTCGTTTACCCATGTTGTCTTTTAAAAATTAATATAAGTTGAATGTATTGTAAATAATAATACTTATATCATGTTAGAGAGTCCATAACTAAATGAATGATTTAAGGTCGTTCATTTCAACAACTAAACTTTCACCGCTGTGGATTCTAATCCCGCCTAAGACATTGGCTTCTTTCACGTGAGGCCGGTTATTCTACTTAGGTGCACGCTTATGCCTGAAATATGTACGGAAGGGCACCCGAGTTCTTTCTCCACCAGAAAAGTTGGAAAGTCGCTGTATGACCTCTATTTTGTTGGTGCGACATATAACCTAACAAAAAAAAATCACCTACCCTCTTTACTTGTTACTGTGCGCCGAGGGAACAGAAAACGGCGTCAAACAAATTTCGTCAATGCCCATGCTGGCTAAAAACATGGCGTAAAAGAGCGCCAAAACAACCATAATGCACGTCGGTATTGTTAAAGTGAAATAATATACGATATGGTTTTGTGGGCAATAAAAACACCATAATCTCTTACCAAATTGCACGATTCTATAAATTCTTACTAATGATACAATTCAATTTTCTCTTAACACAATAATAATTGTCTATTTTCTACATTGAAGATCCTCCGTTTACAACATTCCAACACGGAAAGTTAGAACGAAGTTGTCACCGAGCAGCAGTAGTGCTTCAACTAGTCCAACTTCTTCGTAAGACACTTGCATATTATCTAAACCTCGATTGAAATCATTTCATTTTGATCTTTAGCCTGCTGAATTTCTTACTTTGACTTGCCCTGCTTTGAATATGTAGCATTCATTTTATTAAAGTTTAAGGGATTGCAATACCAAAATACAAAACATAAGCTGTTTGTTCCAGTAAGTGTAATTCAGGGTCAATTCGATTGAAATAATGCGGTAATTCTTATTAACTTTTGGTAAGGTTATTCTAAAATAAGTTTGTGCCTGGTTCGTTTGTTCAATATATATTTCTTTGTCTATTAGAAAGGTTTGCCATTGAGCTTAACGGCGTTTGTAAATGCTGTCAAAGTTGCATTGAACTTCATTATTCATTGGAGAGTTACTGTTTCTAGCTTATCAAGGGTAACCATTTGCCGATAGGGCATGAAGGATAACTCGAAAGTTATCATTAACATAAGCATTGACTATACCTATTTTATTGTTATCTCTCTATTCGAAAGATATCCAAATTTTATTCTTATATTAATTTAAAGATAAGAAGCGTTGTCAAATTGTAATGTGACTTATCTAAAGACAAAAACAAAACATTTTAATATTTCAGACGGTCTGACAACTATGATGATGTCGAGTCACCCAACTTGGACATTCCGACCAGCATACGACGTCTCGTGCCTAGAAATAGATGCGTAGTTAAAGATAGGAATGTTGTTGATATTGCCCGTGGAGATGGCGTTATATCACCTGGAGGGATCTCGCGAAGGTCAGTATATTTAATTGCACATATACATGTAAATGTCACGGTTCAGAACTGCTCACTATTTAGGGGAGAAAAATGTGTAAGCGGCCTGATAGCTCAGTCGGTAGTACTAGTGCCACGGAACTGTATTCCCGTGTTCGAGGCCCAGTAAGGCTGCACATTTTCTCACCCTGTGATATTTGGCGACATTCTGAACCGTGACAAAATTTTTGTACAAATGATGTAGTGTTGTAAAGTATCAGAATTTTATATCACCAGAACCTGGCGGCATACAATTAATGCTACAAAATTCTGACCGTGCGAAATTGTCTGATTTATACATGTTATTGCAAAATATTCTGTAGTGATTTTTCAATAACATATAATAATAATTTACCATAACAAAATGCCTTGCAACCAAGCGTGCTTTCTCTTATTTACAAATATTAGTAAATTTGTCGGAGTCAATTAAATTTTGCAAATACGTACTTATAAATTTTAACCAGCGTAGTGTTTTAAATTATTTTTATAAACAGTCGATTAACTAGACTGATTAACAGTTTGCCGATTTACCAAAGTAAATGTGTTACGATTCATTTGAAATACTGCAATCCTATTGGAAAAAATATTAATTTCAAACACTTAAAAACGTTTCAAGATAACATGCCAATATCCGAAGCTATTAGTGATTTAGATTTATAAACTTATAAAATATGTATCTTTTGTCGAAAGGATGACAAATTGCGACAATAAATGTTTGGCGGGGAAAATGCATCAGAAAGAAAGCAGGCTGTCTAGCACCAACCCGTTTCACAGAAGAGGCGATGGAACTGTTGAACTGAGTCTGTCTTCGAAATATAAAAGGTTTATTATTTGAAAATAAACAGTCTGTATCAATAAGCATATATCATATAATTTACTCCCTGTGTTAACTATTGCTGACGTGGAATCATTTGGCATTGTAAGTCATTGGCTGAAGGTGATGATGTAGGGTAGATATCATAAGCCATTTCTAGTTTTTGGCATTGATTTGGTATGTTTCATGCGTGACTAATCTTTAACAGTAAAATAAAATTTTACTTTAGTTAATAAATTGTTCAACTTGACAAACATGTACTGTGTAACTTGGCATATATTTGACGCATTTTAAAGTTTACTTGACAATAGTATAACGTGTGTTCAGAGGTTCAGATGAGCATTTTAGCTTGGCTATTTGAAGAGGTACTATACACACCCAGGCTACCGTCACGCTTTCGTTTAGTTTTTGCACGAAATTCGGTATTTCCAAAACTACTAACGGGAATGAGTTGTTTTTATGTTGAATTCTACGTAAGCCGGTGCTAGGGGGCGTGGACTGTAACTTGCACTTTCCATTACTGTTCATGAACAGGCTCAATCAAATCGAGCCTGAAACTATTTCAATTTTGCCGTTTTGTACGTTTTTCATGTTTTTTATGGATTATTTATTACTTTCTATTTTGAAAATTCACACACTATTTTGAGAGCAAAGTAAGATGTCACTATCTAGGGTCAATATTACTCTTACATGGATTTTGACAGAATTATGGCTTAGAAATTTTACATTATCCAGGCCCTTATTTTACTATCAAGCATTGAGAATAGTCGAGCACGCTTTCTTACTGCCAGTTCTTGTTGCATAACATATTCAATAAATTTTCAGTCACACACAGGAAGAATTTGAGTCATTATTAGATGACATTTTAAATGAAGAAGAATATCAACATCTTCGGACCCCAGGAAAAAGGTAACTACAATATATATGTAATTATTTGTAATCGGTTTCTACAAGAACTCTCATTTCCATACTTGTTGCACATTGATAATGAAATATTATAATAATTATGATAATGATTTATACAGCTCTAAAGAAGCAAGTAGAGTGACTGACTGAAGATAATTTAGCTTTAGGTCTTCTCATTGAACAAAATAAGGGACAAATACTACATTGCATATTAATATAATATATTGTATGTTACCAATTTGTCTGCGCATTGAGTCTTTATTTTAGCAATTATGCATGTATACTTTGATTCAAAAAGAATACAGACAAATGTATATGAAATATAAAGATAGGCTTGTGTTTATAAGTTTATGTACCTTGTAACTCTAATAATTTATTCATTACAGGAAGTCCATTTTCAATATTTCTGGAACAGGTGGCGGCAAAAGTGAGGCATAGAAAACTCAAATTGAATAATTTGAATTATATGTTAAAAGAAATGGCAACAATTAATATCTACATGTATGAATTCACAACCATATGGGCTTTTCTTGTCTTTTTATAAGAGAGATTATAAATAAAATAATATACACATGTACTAGAATTGTTTCAAGTGATTTAAACAGCTACAGCTTGACTGTTGCCATGTTTTGGCTGCTGTTGGTATTAAATTATCAGTGTGTTAAACACTATTTGTTCTTTTTCCAAAGTTTGAGGGAGAGGACGGAAAAGTTGCGATTGTTTAGTAAACAGAGAGTAGACTACTGAGATGCATTAATTTCTGTGGTGGAAATAATGTTTTATTTAGAAAGCACTTTGGCAGGACTCATTGGTAACATATAATTGTAACAACATATCCATTCTTAGAATCAGGATTATAGATACTCCGCTGAGGTACACAAGACTAAAACATATTTCTTTTTTTAAAAAATAGAACAACAGGTCCACTTAAAATAGAAAGATGTGCAAAAGATAATTGAGAAATATACTCATTATTCACAACTAGAATAATAATCATGAAAATTTTCTAAAAATATGCACATAAGTTACTTATATAGACCTACATCAAATGGAACATTTATCTCGAAAAATTAGCGGAGTCCCTTTAAAATGATAATTAATAAACATTTTTTTTGTTAAGAAGGTGCATAGAGCATGGCAACTTCATTCGATTGTCTTGAAAAGTCGAGTGTTTTGTAACACTGGAAACCCATTCTTTATTATGATACTTGACACAGACACAAGAGTACATTTTTATGCAAATTTTAAAGTTCAAATTCAGTTTTTAATTTCCGAAATTTGCACGAAGACTTTTTTTATTCTAAACACATCATATATGGTGTTCGAGCACTCAGTGAAAGACATCGAATTAAGTTTTCAAATGACAGTGTTTGAGATCCGTATTGTTTTGCAGAATTTCCTTTTCGGAAATCGATTAACATTTTACGCTTATAAATCCAACTTGTATCATACGCTTTAATTACAACATACCATGTACTCATTCGGTGAAATGAGTAAAAGCATTCTTAATTGTATATATAGGCAGAGACATAGATAACAGAGATAGGCTACTTCCTAGCCAGTTAAAATATCACGCTTGCCTACTAAACTTAAAACTTGTAGCAAGTAAAACTCATTAACCAGATATCAAAATCGGTAAAATAATACATTTTCTGAAAGCTTATGCATTTGTCTATGGCTGCAGGTAAAAATATTTACAGTTCCCATTTAAATAAATGTTGTACCATTTTTTAAAGAGAACTACTTAATATTTTTTGTTACAAAACTATTCATATGATAAAAAAACTGGCTCAGTGGGTATGTTCTGCCATGTTTTTTCTAAGTGAAAGGCATGGAAAGTTAACAATATTTTAACATGCAGCCATAGATGAAAGATTTACCTTTCAAATGGTATATAATATTAAAGGATAATATGTACATCCATTAAGTTTTGTTTGCTACAAAATGCCTAATTTTCCACTTTTTTTATAGGCATGAGTGATATTTCAATGGAGTATATATAGGAGCTACTTATCTCTGTTATCTATGTCTCTGATATAGGAAAACACATTATATCGCCTATCGCAAAATGAACTATATACGTACATATTTGAGTGTTATTAGTTTACTAAATTGGTCTTATTTACGTGGATATATATTTGTATTTTCTCTGTCATGAACATATGATTAACTTAAGATATGTAACGATATGTGGAATTTAACAGATACACGTTTGATTGCAGCTACATTTTCGGTAAGAAAACTACAAAAATCTACAATTATTAAGTTAGCATTGCTCATATATAGACTCTTCATTGTTCGCGGTTTATGATGATCTGATTAGTACGAAGATTGCTTGTTTGCTCTTTGATTTACCTCGTACCATATAGGTCAATGTACAAATGTATATGTACATATGCTATTCAAATATATAAGCAAGTACATGTGAACAAATGTATTGTCTTCATCTTAACAAAGAATAAATCTGGTGACTTGAGCAGAATACGACATACAGAAATGCATCATGAGTCTATTTTGTGATGATGCTGCATTTATGTAACATACGGTCATCATCATAATTATAATGATCATCTTTATATTGTAGCAGGAGAGGACTACTTCCGAGGCGACAGGTTGCAAATTGTCACAACCTGGCTTCGCAAGTTCCTCTCCTTTTTACTTGCTACTGATTTATAGAGCCTTAGAAGCTTGGACTCACTTCGTCCCTTTACCCCGAATATTTGCTGCAAGAAATGACAAAAACACCAAGTTTCCAGTTCTGATTTTTTAATACAAAATTAAATACTTATACGGCAATGTTCTTTATTTAAACATATAAACTTCAATTTATCAAAGTATAGACATTAAATTCAATAACAACTATCAAATTTAATATAAAGAACTTTCAATGCAGAGTAATGGATAACAGATATACTGTACTTTTACTTTAATAAAGAAATACTAAATAATTTACTTTTATGATACCTAATGAATTTAGATAGGGGAAGGGGCGGTAGCTTGGCTTTGTAACCTTTGCTACCAATGATGCCAATAAAATCTGACCTTATATACCAAAGTAATTATTATTTCTAATCAACCAATATATCAACATATCATTTCTAACATTTAGCTTCATAAATATAAATTAAGAATAACTACTTAAAACAAAATTATTAAAGTTTTATACCTGAGACCTTCTTTATCTTGACAATTTTAATAGCTAACAATTTACTCGATAAGTTGTATACAAACTATTTCATAAAATATAACAAATTACAATTTCATGTACCAAAAAGAAAAGGGAAATAACAATTTAGAACTTAATTCAATAAGTGTCAAAAATCAGAACATTTATTTTACAAAGGGAAACAACCTGCCCTACTACATATTATATAGTATATCATCATAATTAATCATGATATATTATTAACATCTCATATCGCCATATTGTTATAATCAACGTCATCAACATTATTTTATTATTATTATTATTATTATTATCATCATCATCATCCTCATCATCATTTTGTTTCATTATTATCATCACCACGGATCTTAATTACATAATATGTAACCTGAATCATCATCACAATTATTATCGTGATATTGCTGGAATATTGTTCTCTTGGGGAAAAAACATGGTCACCAATTTCTTTTAAGAGTTAACGCGGTACGGCGCCTTGAGTGCGAAAAAGTACGATTTAATTTAGGAACGAAAGTATTTTAGTGACCGGAAGTGCCAGCCGGTATACACGTTAAACTGGTTTGTTTTCTGTTTTTAACTGCATTAATCTTACAGGATCTATGGATACATTTCATAAGATAAAATTTCACTTGTTTGTTTTTACCTAATAACTGTCATATGATTTTGTCTGCTAAAACATAGATTTTTAAATGATCCTCGATATGCATCTATTTCGGATAGTGAAAAATCGGATACTAGTGTCCGTTTAATATGTTGACTAAAATCTCTATGACGTCCACATGTTTATGGTATTTCAACGTAATATAATGAAATTGTTTACTTGCCCTGTAAGATTTCTGAAATTTGGTGGTCCCGTTGAAAAAATACTCATTTTTTTGTGCCCCCACTGGTACTGATACATGTGGGGGAGGGGGGCATTTAGATTTCCCTTGACGGTCGGTCCGTCCGTTCTCATTTTGTGTCGCACATAATTTAAAAAGTATTTGGCCTAGAGTCATGAAACTTTAGAGGAATGTTGATCAGCATGTGTAGTTGTGCACATGGGTAGTCTCGGGTAACAGTTTAGCTGAAACTTGTAAGAGCCTCGGCTCGTTACCACCATAAGGCCACTTCTTTTATATTTCTTGGTTTACAAAACCGGCGACCCGAAATATTTGTAAATTGGAAAAAAAATAAAACTGAAATTTCCACCTTTTTTTTCCCCCGATGCAAAAAAAATTATCCGATAAGCGCGATAAATATGAGTATGAAAATTCGAATATTTTTGAGTACGAATCTATATAACACAACATTCGGACTACCTCGGATAACTACCGCAGTTCATGGTAAAACAACAATGGCGGCGCCCTTGAGCGGCACTGTTTATTTCCAAGTTGATTTTGTTGGAATTAAAGATTTGCCAACCAGACGGGCTTTTTTAAAGGCTGCCGTTGATGAGGACATCGGCACGGCTATAAGCCGTATCCTTCCTCGAGAAGATTTAATGGTTTGATTTACGATATATTTGCTAGTATATTGTTAAATTGTATTTTTCTTTTCGTCGAAGATGGCAGATATTTTTGGTACATTTGTATCAAGAAAGTTAACATGAAAGCTATACTAAGGAAAAACAACAATAAAAAGATGTTTAAATTACTGTTTTTGCTTATGTCAATAGAAGAATGACACTATTTTTGACAAAATAGTGTTTTATGTGCACCATACAAGATTTTTTTTTTTTTTTTACAATATACCCGATGGACCTTTTTGAGGTTTTTTTTTTTTTTTTTTTTCCGACCACCCAGTGGACATTTTTGAAAAAAAAATTTGTAAACCAAGAAAAAAAAAAGAAGTGGCCTAAACAGTAACCCTCAAACTAGATATTCCGGTCTGTACCGGCAGCCAGTGTAAGATTTTTATAGTATTCAGCCGTAAGATGCTTGCATTTTTTTTTTATAAATAATAAAAAAATTTCCATGAAAAAAATTAATTTGATAACTTTATTTACAATTTCAATATTAAAAATATAATCCATAAATAGAATACTTTTATAGAAAAGGAAGAGGAAAGTCTCAAGTCATGCTGTGTATTGGTATTTTTCTGAGAGCGACTGTTTTCATTTTACCGGTCTCCTGCTGATATAACAGGGCCTCAGAATGCAGATTTTAAGTATGCAATATTTATTTGAAATTCCCTGGTTTTTCAAAATACATGTTGGACATAGATAAATGACCGTAATTTTTGTATAATCAAATATAAAAATTAATCATAATGGCTTCAATGCATGTTAGATAAATTATTGTCTCTGAAGTAAAATTTTCTAATCTTATTATAAAATCCATAATGTCTTGCTATTTTTATTTAGTATTACAAGAATTCAGCATAACTTGAAGACTAATGGTTGGAATTTAATACAACTTCATACAATAGTCAAGCACATTGAGAGGAAGTGCAGTTCACAAGAACATAACTCCTTCTTGACTTATTACAGAGTTATTGCCCTTTGTAACGTTTCCTTGTCCAGAGCATAACTTGAAAACTACTGTTGGAATCGAAAACAACTTCATACAATGTCAATGGTCAAGCACAATAATTAAAGGGGAAGTGCAGTGCACAAGAACCATAACTCTATCTAAAGTAATTACAGAGTTATTGCCCTTTGTTACTTTTCCATTGCTTTTTTTGTTCGGAGCATAACTTGAAGACTAATGATTGGAATTCAATACAACTTCATACCATGATCAAGGACATTGAGAGGAAGTGCAGTGCACAAGAACTATAACTCCATCTTGACTCATTACAGAGTTATATAATATTATAGCCCTTTGATATGTTTCCTTGTCCGGAGCATAACTTGTAAAGTACTGGTTGGAATTCAAAACAACTTCATACAATGGTCAAGCACAATAAGAGGAAGTGCAGTGCACAAGAACCATAACTCTGTCCAGAGTAAATATAGAGTTATTGCTCTTTGTTACTTTTCCATTGCTTTTTTCTTGTCCAGAGCATAACTTGAAAACTACTAGTTGGAATTCAATACAATTTCATACAATGCTCAAGTATATTGAGAGAAAGCCCGGTGCACAGAAACCATAACTCTTTCTTGACTCATCTAAGAGTTTTTGCCCTTTGTTACTTTTTATTGTCCAGTGCATAAATTGAAAATTAATGGTTGGAATTCAAAGAAACGTCATACAAGGGCAGTGAGATGAAGTGCAGTGCACAAGAACCCTAACTCTATTTGGACTATTTACAGTTATTGCCCTTTGTTACTTTTTTTGTCCAGTGCATAACTTGAGAACTAATAGTTTGAATTCAATACAACTTCATACAGTGGTCAAGTGCAATGAGAGGAAGTTCAGTGTACAATAACCATAACTTCATCTTCAATATTTGTAGAGTTATTGATGCCCTTTGTTCCTTTTCCTTGTCAGGTGCATAACTAAAAAACATATGTTTAGAATTCAATGAAACTTCATTCAATGGTCAACCACATTGAAAGCAATGAGAGGAAGTGCTGTGCTCAAGATGGGTAACCCTTTTTGGACTTATTACAGAGTAATTCAATAAAACTTCATCAATGGTCAACCACATTGAAAGGAAATGCAACATATAAGAACTACAACTATCTTTAATTGCCCACAACCATATACTCTATTTCAGTTCTTTTGCAAGGTATTCTGTTACTAGTAACTTCCTCATTTCCGAAGCAGTCTTGCAGGGGTATTAATCACATTTAGTGATAGTTCTAGTTTTTTTTCAAATTGTTTAAGCCAAATAAACATTGAATTGAATATCAGTGTTGCAATTAGTCTTATAGCCAATTTACTACAGTTTTAACTTGTGGCACTATACAAAAACAAATTGGTTTATAATCTCACAACCTTCACCTTTCTGACATTCTGAGACCCAAACAAATTCAGCACCTTCAGTGCTTTGATTATTGAAGCAGCTGAAAACACAGTGTTGACTTGGAGGTTTCCTTGTCAAATGACGTTAAACTCATGAAAAAACCTTGCGAATTATAAATATTTATTCTATCGTGAACGCCATTATATGATTATGGAGAACTGAATATCTGAGGATTCAATATAAATTATTCTGTTTCATACACAAATGTACTTGGCCATTTTTTAAAATTAAATAAAGTCAATGTAGCATTGTTACATTACAGAATTCAGATAACAAAATGCCAGAAACACGACAAAGGAAAGGTAAAGAGAAGAGAGCTCAAGTTGAGGAGACAGTCAGCAATGGAAATGGTGTGGACAAGGAAACATCAAAGAAAATCACAAAGGTTCTTTTTTCAATTCATTCTTGATTATAATTGATTACAGTCAAGCCTGTGTATATCAAAGTTCTTGAAGTTAGGTAAATATGGAAAAATTAACAATTCACAACAATGTTTTATATTGGTAGATATTTTAGGGAAAATATGCAAATTTTGAAGTTGGGAATGGGTTTGTTTTACAGAGTTAAAGTAGGTCAACAGCACAAACTAACCATTAAAACATAAAACAGAACCATAAAAACAACAAAAACCAGTTATTTGGGATCTCTTTCTGTTGGTACACTTGTTTAAACTGCATTTTCATTGGAGGACTATTGAATTTATTTGCCATTTTGTTATAGTTTTACATACACATGTATACATGTAGAATTTTAGTGTTTTTTTACCACTTATATTGATATACATTTCAGTCTCGTATCACTAGACTCAAAGACCATCAGTCAAAGACTGGAACAAGATATATACTAACTATGTGTAAATTTCTAGTAGCTGTCATGGTCATCCCACCTTTCCTAAACTATGCAGCTCTTCAAAGGGAGGCTAGTATGCTTCAGCCAGATGGTATAGTATATTTGTGTATTTATTTAAGAAATAATATATCCCAAACAGTGATTTTATCGCTCAATAACATCACTGTTTGTAGTTCAGATGCGAAATATATCACAAGGGCATAGCCGGAGTGATATAATGATAGGCATCCGAACGACAAACAGTGAAGTAATCAAGCGATAAAATCACCGATTTGGATATATTATTTCGATTCTAACAGGACATCTACACATAAATGCTGCCATACCTGATATTAACCTAAATTGCGCCTGATTTGTTTCCGTACTTATTTTCAGCACATCACATTTTAGTGGTTACATCATGTGAATAATAATTACATCACATGTCTAAATATAGAACATCAAACTGTGATTTTATTAACCAGGTTTTCCGAAGGAAAAAACTGGTTATTAGATTGAGGTATGTTCGGCGGGCGGGCGGACGGGCGGGGGCGGGCGGCGGGCGTAAACAATTTCTTCTGTGCGCAACTCCTCCTACATTTCTCAACGGATTTTGACCAAACTTTCACAGAAGCTTTGTCATCAAGTGCCCTGGCGCATATTGTCGGGGTTTTTGCGATTAGATAATATTTGACCTAATTATGGCCCTTTGTTTTTTTTTCCTTATATAAAATATATAGTGAACAATTTCTTCTGTGCGCAACTCCTCCTACATTTCTCAACGGATTTTGACCAAACTTTCTCAGAAGCTTTGTCATCAAGTGTCCTGTCACATATTGCCAGGGTTTTGCAATTGGTATATATTTGACCTAATTATGGCCCTTTGTTTTTTTTCCTTATATAGAATATATAGTGAACAATTTCTTCTGTGTGCAACTCCTCCTACATTTCTCAACGGATTTTGACCAAACTTTCTTAGAAGCTTTGTTATCAAGTGCCTGGCACATGTTGTCGGGGTTTTGTGATTGGATAATATTTGACCGAATTATGGCCCTTTGTATATTTTTTCCTTATACAGAATATATAGTGAACAATTTCTACAGTGCGCAACTTCTCTTACATTTCTCAATGGATTTTGACCAAACTTTCACAGAAGCTTTGTCATCAAGTGCCTGGCACATGTTGTCGGGGTTTTGTGATTGGATAATATTTGACCGAATTATGGCCCTTTGTATATTTTTTCCTTATACAGAATATATAGTGAACAATTTCTACAGTGCGCAACTTCTCTTACATTTCTCAATGGATTTTGACCAAACTTTCACAGAAGCTTTGTCATCAAGTGCCCTGGCGCTCACTAAATTCCCATGTTTCTTTCAAGACATCATGCAAGTATTTTTTTTAAATTGTGAACATACTTTTCTTGATATCGCACAAAACACCACACGCCAATATTGTTGACAAAAGAAAATGACAAGAGACACAAAAATGCAAAAATTAAGCAAAAATAAAGTACTGTTTACCTTTCTAAAATATTTGGGGAAAAAAGGCGAATAGACAACATAAAATTTCTCAATCATTTTTGTTTGAGGAATATTAAAAAAGCCATAATTCCTCCTAAAAGTTCAATTAAAAACAAATGCCCCTTCATGACAAAGCTTCTGTGAAATATTTTGCTGAAAACCTGGTTGCATCGCATTGCGATGTTCCTTGTTGCATAATAACACACACTAAAATGCATGTCATGTTTGAATAATTGATAAAGTTATTTGTTATGATGTTATATTTAATATGTCCTACTCCATATTAAACAATTTTTATTTGTTGTTAAATATTGTTTAATATGTCCACATTAAACCATTGACAATACTTTAAAACATAAAAGCATATTCGAAATTAAGTAGATTTAATTATCATGATGTATAACATTTTATTTCATACTTTCCAGTGTTTTACTGTTATATATCAAATGATTTTATTCTGATTAACCAGTAGTGAAATTTATAAAATATTATTTTCACTGTAGCCAGACTACGTCTTAATGCTGATGAAAAGAAAATCGTAACTAAATGGAATAACATGCAAATATAAATGCTGTCATACGTAAATTTTGCTTCTTTAGGAAAAGAAGGTTGATGTCATCATACATCAAGTTTAAAATGTAACAAAATTAGAGAAATATAACAGAACTATATTTAAAAATTGATGATGTGACGCATTATGTGATGACGTCACAAAGGAGAATACGCAACATTACGCGGCAAAATCAAGAAAAAATACTTAAAAGTACTTAAAAAGCATGAAATAAAAATAAAACTTATTTATTTTACATATAAGAATGAAATATATATTTCATTTGTGAACACCAGCTTTTTTATTTTCACTCGTGAAAATATTGCGTCTGGTGTTCACTCAGTGAAATATATTTCAATGTTACATGCAAAACAAACAAATATCCTCTTTATATAATATGATCATGGAATTGTATGGAAATGTTACAGAATAACTTCAATCTATTATAAGTGATTACAGTGATAGAAGGAAGACATGTAACAAAAATATATTTTCAGGTGAAATGTATGATATAGGATGGGGTCAGAGGCTTTTTATGTCTTGTAAAGGAAAAGGAGCACCAACTGGTTAGTTTTCTTATATATTATTGTACTAGAATGCCTATAAACAGAAAAGTGTCTTCATTCTAGAGAAATATCATGATATTTTTTATTCCATGTGAATGATATCATAATTTATGACAATTCAGACAGTTGAACTTGATTGCAGGGACATCTTACTTTTGCTAATTTATTTTACTTTCATTGTTACTTTTTTGTCAGTTTCACATACTAAGTGGGGGGGAAAAAAGCCTGATCACATAATACTTAATTCTACCTTGGCACAAAGTGATTTATTTAGTACCTATTTTATTGAGGCAGTACTGAACCAGTTCATATTTTCCCAACAATTTGTTGCTTTCTTTTATACAAATCATTTTCCTATCCTAAACATAACAAATCTTATGATAGTGCAGGTAATATATTATTTGTTTTCTTCAGTTGTTTTAGATGCTCCAACAGGCATGAACTCTGATGCTTGGTCTTTGGTGTTCGACAAAGTTGCCAAATACACCAGGGTAAGTAAAATAGTTACATAACTTACATTTTAAGTATAACACATATTGACAGAGTTAGTTTCAGTCACTGCCTTTGCTCACTGGGCCCTAATTGCTATGGGTTTTACTTTGAATTCTTTCATGTGAGGAATCTGTTAAGCTAGCTTACAGAAGGTCATTGATTCAACTGAAATGCCTACTCTTGTCTGAAATAATACTGGAAAACTTCCACCCAGGAAAATTGGAAAATTGCCATGTGACCATAGTATGACTTTAAACCAAACCAACTTAATACAAACAAAAATTCATCTATACATATCAGCGTGAGCATCAATTTAGCCATACTGATTATTGCAAACCACATCTTTTTGAAAGTATTTATTTTCTGAAAAGGTCCAATATTTAATGTGGTAAATGTTGACATTTTTATTTAGTATTACAAGAATTCAGTTATTTTCATTCCTTATATTACAGGTTTGCATGTATGACCGAGCTGGGCTAGGATTCAGTGACAGACCTTATAAGGTAATTTAGAATTTAACAATCATAGATCATAAAGTGCATGTTTACTAGCTGTAATGCATGTATAAATATTTTCTCAAATACTTAAATCACAATGGAAAAATTTTAATACAAGAATAGGGAGAGCCAAGCAGTCAGGGTCAAGGTCACCGTTACTTTTTGTTTTGTTGTTGTTTTTTTGTGTGCAAGTCGGTATCTCCAAAACTACAGAAGGGAATAGGTTGAAATTTCACACACTTATCCTCTGTAATTATCTTACATGATAAAGACATGTCCCGTAACTCTGAGTTACTCTTTATAGAGTCTAGAGCACTTTTTGTGTGTCTGATTTTATTGCTTTATTGGTTTAATATCTAGGTATAATCAATTATAAATGGACATATGAATAATTTCATGATTAAATATTGGATTTAATTGACCTATGGTTTGAATGTATTCATGAATTAATATCGGATTTAAGCCATATATCATAATTATGATTGTCTTGTAGAACACAACAGAAGTGGACGGTTCTGACAGTAATAGTAACTATAGAAACAGATGGTTTCCATTTACTGCAGAAAGGTATGTTAGAGTGCATACAAAAATTTAGTTTCTACATATTTTAGCAGGGTGTTGAAATGATGATACCTGTCATATGTTTGTGGTTTTGACAGGAATATCAGGAATATTGGGTAGTAACCTGGCAGGTATTCAGGGTAGGGATATTCTGAATCATACATGGAACATGTCGGATATTTTTTCAAATGGTTTACCTTAATAAGCTAAGGTAACCTTTTTATGGAAAATGCCTTTTTAGATACTCCTTTATTGTAGCATATGAATTTACAACTTAATTCATTACAATGAAATGACAAAGGTGAAATTTCTCTGTGACAGTTGTTCTCAGATATTTAGTCTACTGGTTATTTGTCTATCACGGCTAATTCAGAAATCATGTTTGGTTAGTAATAATCAATTACTTGTAATTAGTGGTTAGTTAACCAGGAAAGCTGGTTACATAGTTTGACCATGTAGATATAACCAAAAATGTGTTTAAAAACCAGAAAATCAAATGTAGGTCTAATTCATTGCAAATGCAAGAATTATTTCTTTCAAGTATTTCATAAGAACAATTGAATTACATCTTTTAAACTTAGAATGATTAAATTAAATCAATTTTGTTTAAAATAGGCAAATTATGTCATGTTTCATTAAAAATTATATCTATTTCTTGTACAATTGTTTAATGATGTCTTATTTCATTTCTGTCTTTTTCATTTAGTATGGTTGCATTATGTCTATTTTATTCAGAATTGCAGAATTATGTCTATTTTGCTTAAACTGGTTGAAGTATATATGTATGTCCATTTCTTTTAAATTGCAGAATGAATGTCTATTTCATTTAAAATGGTTGAATTATGTCTGTTTCTTTTACAATGGCAGAATTATGTCTATTTCATTTAAAATGGTTGAATTATGTCTGTTTCTTTTACAATGGCAGAATTATGTCTATTTCATTTACTAGAATGGTTGAAGATTTACATCAGCTTATATCTAGTAGCAGTGACCAACCAAAACCATTCCTGTTAGTTGGAGCAGAACTCGGCGCTCTTGTTTCACAGTTCTATACTCACATGTTTGAAAGGTAAACCTTTAATCTTTCATTATATTTTGAACAAATATATATCTAAGCTTGGTCATGAAACAGGTTCTTGTTATTGTATTCACCCAGTCATTTGAGTCACACTTTGATAAAGTTTTTCCGTTACAGATTATTCCATTTAAACTGCAATTGATCTATGCAAAAATTATAAATTTGGTTTGTCTCAGTGGAGTTCCTTTAACCATGTTTACTATAGATATTTTTGTAATGTTGCTGTTGGAGTGGAAGTCATTATATTTTAATATTATTTTCACTTCACTATGAAATTATGAAACATAGTTTATTTATTGATAAATCAGTAATCCACTGAAAAGCATAGAATAAACTAAATCATATATTTTCTACTACATGTAGTTTGTATGTACATATATTTATTACAGTGAAGTAGTGGGACTGATATTGATCAACCCTCTATCTGAGGATCTATTCCAACAAGATAGAGGAATCTGGCTTCATAATTGGTAAGTTTCCCTGTTGTTAGTTATTTAAAGTTTCTGTAGAATAGCTTTTCGTTTCTGTTTGAAATGTTTAACTTGGAAGGAAAAAGGAGGTAGATGATATTCTGAGAAATCTATTAACTATTATGATGTGATTATTAATTTCAAGGTGGCCTCTGTAGCCTCTTAATCTTAATTACTTACCCTTTGTTTAGGTTCAAAAGGGCGTCCATTGCCAAGTGGTTAAAGATCGTTGAGTTCAAATCATTTATCCCGCACTGCTGTGGGATTGCATCCTGCCAAAGACATTAGTCATGTAAGCAACCTATTCAACTAGCTTATTGAAGGTTGTTGGATCTACTCAGGTGCCCAATGGTTCCTAATTTCACTTATTTCAGACATCTGAAGGCTGTCTCCTCCAGTAAAGCTGGAAAGTCACTGCAAAACCTCTACTGTGTCAGTGCAATGTAAAACTTTACCAAACAAAAAAATAAAAAGGTTAAGGTTCTAATTGTGTTCAATCATTGAAGCTTTAAAGCTGATATAGCTTACCAGGGAATGTGTTTCTTAATTAAAAGTTAAAATCCAACAAAATAAGTAATCATTTTAGGTCTCTTTGCCAATAAGATTCATTTACACGTATATCCATATTGATCATATACCTGAACTTTTACATAATGTTATATCTATGGTTGCTGATTTGTGCCATTCATGTTTTCGCCCTGCAACCCCACAAAGCGAAAAGTGAAGAATTTATAAGTTAAAATGGGGGGTGCAGAGTGAAAACACGCTAATTAGCGAGGGCACGGGGCGAAGTTTATTAAATGAAACTTCGCTCCATAGGGGCGGGGGACGAGAATTAGAAATAAAACGGCAGGGGCACGGAGCGAAAACATGCTAATCAGTAATAAGCTCCCTGCTAATAAGTGTGATTTCACTCAGCGCACCGCCATTATAACTTGTTAATTATTGACTTTTCGCTTTGTGGGGTCGAGGGACAAAAACACGCTAAGGAGGGCGCGGCGAAAACACCAATGGCACAAATCAGCCACAATATATATACAGTGTTGCATCTACAATTTCAAAGTTATGGGGGAATGTCCCCCACTCAACTGAAAAATGTGGGGGATTTTAAAAAAATGTGGGGGACATACATTTACCTTACAATATAACGTACCAAAAATAATACATTTATTTTACATTGAGGCATTTTGACAGCTATTGCCCGCTCAAAAACGGAAGTAGAAAAAATAAAATATTGACGAATACTAGAAAACACACGCCACATGACCCAGCTGGCTGCTACACACGATTAAGTACGTATTTTAGTCATAACCACGAGTGATGAAGCGGTTGAAAAGATTGTCAGATGCGCAACTTGGCGCGCATTGACTTCATTAAAATGCGCGATCTGCATAAAAAACACTGTATATATATCTCTTATTTCTTGAATATTTATCAAGGTTTGGTCACATGGTACCATCATTTCAAACAATACAACTAGGTGCAGCACTGGGGATAACTAGACTATCTATAATGTTCGGATATCTACAACACCCGATGAATATGGCGGCTGAAATATCAGAACAGATCGTTCAAAGACAGGTAGATAGATGTTTGATTTACAAGTAGCTAGTAGTTCTTCCAGACACTCACTGCTGTGGGTTCAAATCCCAACAACGACTGGATTCTTTCATGTGAGGAAGCTATCCAGCTAGCTTATGCAAAGTCAGTAGTTCTACTCAGATGTCCGTTTGTGACTGAAATAATGTACAAAAGGACACTGTGGAAAGTCACCATATAACCATTAGTGTTGGGTCGACATTAAACCCAAACAAAACAAAAGAATTCAAAAGATGGCAGGTGAGATTTATGTCAAATTACTCACTGGTGTCCCTTATATGGTTCTGCTCTGTCAGAAACTTTATCCTCAAAAGGACATAAATTTCTGAATATCTACATTTTTGATAATAATGATATGCTCACTTGGGCAGCATATCAATTAGCACAGATGTAATAATTTTCAGATACTGGTTACCTTCTTCCAGCCAAACAACTCAGATACCTAATAATTTTAGGGAGAGCTATAGTACTCAACAAGGCATCAGTGTGACTGTGTCAGCATCAGCATCACTCTTTGGAAAAATTTTGTGTGCAAGATGGTATCTCTAAATCTACTGAAGGGAATGGGTTGAACCTTCACACACTTGTTCTCTGAAATTTATTATCAACCATGATGGGCACAGGTCCCATAACTTTAAGGGTGTAACGGTTTACCGGTATACCGATATATTGCAATATGAAAAAATAAATTTCGTACCGCGGTACGATTTTTGGAAAACCGGTATTTTATAAAAATCATAATTTTCAATTAATTGCCTTCTAATTTTGTACAAATTTCACATAAAATCTTTAATTGGCCAATTTTGTTGGCGCCAACGTAAGATAAAAGTATCCGACAACTAGTACACTTAAAAGTCAATAAGCGGCCGCATAATTTACATAAGCGGCCCAGATGTGAAAGGTCACACGCGACTAGTTTTGTTTATCAAATTGTGTTACACTTTACTTTCTATTTATTCCTTACATTTTTATTAAGTTTCTACTAAAAATATATACATATAATAATAATATATAAATGTTACTCCATCTTTATATCAAAACATATACAAGACAATACGTATTGCAATATATTGCAATACGCTTCAGCAAAATGGCAATATATTGCAATACGGTTTTTGCTGTATTGTTACACCCCTACATAACTTCAAATTACCTATTTACAAAGTTATACCTCTTTTCTTACTGTCAACCACTGAGAATAGTTTAGTGCACTGTATTCAGGGAAAGCACTTATTTTAATGAAATTGCACTTAATTTTTATTTCAGAAATATTTGATGTGCTATCCAAGACACATGAGTTCAGTTGTTGATGAACATTACTTTGTTAACGAGACATTTTCACAGTTTAGGTAAGAAATGTGTCATGTAAAATTTGCAAGCTTGTTTTGCTTAAATGATAGAGATGTTTGCAATTTAACTCATCCTTGCATGCAACAAGTTAGCCATTGTTTGCAATTTAAGCAAATCTTGCCATGTAACTAGTGTTCTTTTAATTTTTAGCCATTGTTTCATGTTTGCAATTTAACTGAATCTTGCATGCAACAAGTGTTCAATAGTTTTTAGCCATTTTTTGCAATTTAACTGAATCTTTCATGAAACAAGTGTTCATTAGTTTCTAGCCATTGTCTGTAATTTTACTCATTCTTGCATGCAGTAATAGCTACTTGTTATAAGTTCCCAAACCCAACCTAACAGCAGTTGTTATATAGTGATGACCCTTCCAGTTAGTACAATCGGTACCTTATGACTGAAATACTGCTTAAACTTACACTTTATAAACACAACTTAACAACGACTTATTGTGATAATAATTTGAGCCGCATCACGACAAAACCAACATAGTGCGTTTGCGACCAGCATGGATACAGACCAGCCTGCGCATCCGCGCAGTCTGATCAGGATCCATGCTGTTTGCTATCAGTTTCTCTACTTGTAATAGAGTTGGAATGCGAACAGCATGGATCCTGATCAGACTGCGCAGATGCGCAGGCTGGTCTGGATCCATGCTGGTCGCAAAAACACTATGTTGGTTTTGTCGTGACATGGCTCATTTGTTTACAGGACGGCAAAGATGATCAGGAAAATTCCAGAAAATATAACAGTGACAGTGATAACTGGGAATTATTATGATGAACAGATGCCTGGACCCTTAAATAAGGTCAGCTAATGTTTAACTATTAACCTGCCTTATTTGTGTACTGTCATACCTGTCTTAATATAAGAGACCATTAAAAAAATGACAAAAATGGTTGCTTAATACAATGGTCTCTTAGGACAAAGCATAAAGACATATAAATAAATTCAAAATTTATTCTTTCACTGTTCACTTTGAGCAAAATCTGCAGAACACATAAAAGATATATAGAGATATAAAGATTCATGGGAATTTTAAGTGGTCACTAAAGACAAAAGTCAGTTAATACATGTGGTTTCTTGGGCAAGTTAGACTGTAATTAATTTGCCCAGCTTTGAATATGGAACAGTTCATTCAAATTTTCAGGGATTTTATTATCAAAATACAAAAAAAATAATTTGGCTACCAACAGTTTAGAGCCTTGTTCAGGCTTGCTCTTTTCCAGAGTACCAACAGTAATTTGTATTTTATGATGATAAGTGTGACATATCAGAGACATAGATTACAGAGATGGGCAACTTCCTAGCCAGTTAAAATATCATGCGTGCCTGCTAAACTTAAAACTTGTAGCAAGTAAAACTTATTAACCAGATATCAAAATCAGTAAAATAGTACATTTTCTGAAAGCTTGTGCATTTGTCTATGACTGCAGGTAAGAATATTTACAGTTCCCATTTACATAAATGATACATTAATTTTTAAAGAGAACTTCTTAATAATTTGTGTCACAAAACTATTCATATGACAAAAAAGCTGGCTCAGTGGGTCAAAGGCATGGAAAGTTACCAATATTTTAACATGCAGCAATAGGTAAAAGATTTACCTTTCAAATGGTATATAATATTAAAGGATCAAATGTACATCCATTAAGTTTTATTTGCTACAAAGTGCCTAATTTTTCACTTTTTGATAGGCATGAGTGATATTTCAATGGAGTATATACTCATCCTGGAGCTGCTTATCTCTGTTATCTATGTCTCTGCACATATGAGGAAAATTATCTTGTTTATCCACATGCAGGTTTTTATCACTTTGACATGGGACTCAGAACGATTTTTGATTCATTTTCATACAGATTGACAGGGGAGAGATATTATGACCCCTAGATTATTTAGTTAGAAAGTGACAGGACAACTTCAATTGGCCTGTATTGTAATGTGTTTATTTTGTTTTTATTTCAGGCATGGGCTAAATCAGAACAGAATTTGATATCGAAAACATATCCTCATAGTCAACATATAGTAGTGAATGGTGGCGACAGACATTTATTGTACCAAAAACCTGACGCCATTGTTGAACCAATTAGAAAAGCTGTTAAATTATGGAGATCTAAAAATAGTAACAATAAAATGAATACGAAAGCTAGCTGATGTCTGTGATAAACATGGGTGGAGGAAAACTTGTGCTCGGCTTGACAGTTTTATAAAATTTGTGACCAGATTCAAGCTTTGGCATTTGATTGGTTGGAATTGAAGCAAGATATGAATTGACCAATGAGGAAGTCCCGTTTTGTGACTGGTTTACAGTGTTAGTGGTAAAATTCTGAATCCTGAAGATGATAGCTTTTGATTGGATGTATTAGAAATAAGACACTAAATTAGCCAATGAAATACATGTTATAAGTTTGATATCAGTCACTTGTAAGAGTGGTAAAGATATGAATGAAAAAGGAAGGAGACAAAAAGGAATATCAAATGTGAAAATTGTGTCAAAATAAGTTTTGTTATCATTTGTTGACTTTTTATTATAAATTAAAGGTTAACCCTTACACAGCTAAATTTAAATATTGGACTTTTCCAGCTTTCAATTTAGAACTACTCATTTTTTATGATAAGGGATTACAATATCAAATAGCTAACATTTAGTAATGAACAGAGTAGAGCCATGATAGCTGGCTTGCGGGACTGTAAACTTTTGGGAGTTGACTGGGATACTAATCCATATTCCAGGTCCGTATTGGTCAGTTATGATCATGGTAACATGTAGGTTCTCGAATGGTAAATTGCTGAATTGTGAGGTAATAGAATCAGTTTTAGTTCTTGAAGCTTATATCAAAGGTTCCTGGGTAATTAAATTGAATATTGTTAATTAAATTACTTTAAATGAAGAATAAAAAGGATAATTGTTATCTAATCAAATAATGAATAATAATAAAAAAATGAATTTTATGTCAAACTTTAAAAGAGATTTGGAAATGTTTGATTAATGTATATCTGTGTATATATATATATATATATATATATATATATATATATATATATATATATATATATATATATATATATATATATATATATATATATATACTGTGTGTATATGTAAATTGACGATGAACGTCAGGAACATTTAAGGTTCAAGCATCAATATGATGCTCATCTTGAGGTATGTTGAAGTACATGTATATTGAGTCCAAGTATGAAAGACTTTGGCAAGTTCATAGTTGTCTGCAGATATCCTACATTCACTGTAACACAGTCTGTCTAATGGCTTTAATTACTGTAACAGTCAGTCTGTCTTAGGACTTTATTAACTGTCTCATGGCTTTAAGTACTGTAACATTGTCTATCATATGGCATTTAATTACTGTAATTAAAGCCGTTGGATATCTGCAGACAACTATGAACTTGCCAGGGTCTTAAATACTTGGACTCAAAATGTAGGACACAACCCCACACGTCAAAACCCCACACCTCAAAATTTTATAGTGGACAAAACCCCACACCTGAATTTTATAGAGTGGACAAAACCCCACACCTTCAGTTTTATAGAGTGGACATAACCACACACCTTCTAATTATTTGTTACAAAACCATACAACTCTTATTCATATGATTTGATATTGTTAGAAAAGAATAAAACATAATATTTACTAAAGTTTGATATTGTGACTTTAATGATTTTACATAGTTCCTTTGATCATGATAATTAATTTATTACTAATATGTATTGACTGACAATAAAATTAGTGACATTGTTAACACTTTGAATAATTAATGTTGATTAAGATTAATGAATGTTTACCCTTAGGTTATTAGCAGGTACTTCATGAAATAAACAAAAGAATAAATTGTGATAATTTATGTTATGCTATTGTATCAATAAGTTCAGTTATAGGTGATAATAATATTTTAAAGAGTCATAAACTTTTTTAAAGTCCTATAATTTTGCCATTTTATGAATTAATCAGCTTTATATATTTTCCATCATGTCTTATTTAATCAAATGATGTATAATGTCTCTTCTTGTTCAGATAATTCCAAACCTTTGAATTCTGAAAACTTCAAAAATGCAAACTTTTTGGCTAGTCCCACAGGATACGGACAAAAGCCCCCCCTCTAAAACTGACAAAGTGGAACCCCCCCCCCCCCGTTCGTCAGGGGGCGGGGGACTGAATAGGGAGCGGTGCATTTGTTGCACTGGTAGAATCAGTTTGATACTAGCAAACACAGGGTATGGGAGGCATAAAAGTAAAATTTCAATAATCTTCATCCTAGGTAAGTTCAACAATCAGATGACAGTATCTTTGACATTCAAAATTCTCACTAAAGAAGTTATTTACAAAGTCAAGGTTACATAGGCTAAGAATGACCTTGACTATGATTTTTTCACAGGGATACATTGTTTAAGTGGGTTTTATGTCACACCGACACATTATAGGTCATATGGCAACGTTCCAGCTTTACTGGTGGAGGAAGACCTCGGGTGCCCATCCATGCATTATTTCAGACAAAAACAGGCACCTGAGTAGATCCACCGATGTTTGGTAAGCTAGCTGGATATTTCCTCATATGAAAGAATCCAAAGACCCTGTAGGAATTTGAACCCACAGTGTTGAGGGGCAAGTGGTTTGAAGTCAACAACCTTAACCACTCGGCCACAGACGGATACATATACAAATAATGAGACTAGAAAAAGACATTTCAAGATTTATTTGTGTGCTATAAAGTTCTAGAAAATGCTATAACAAATATAATATATATTAATAACTATAAAGTAAACATGTACAAGGATACAAACTAAATCAAAGCACAGAAGGCGCTGAATTTGTTTGGGTCTCAGAGTGTCAGAAAGGTGAAAGTTGTGAGATTATAAACAAATTTGTTTTTGTATAGTGCTACCAATGCTTTCCAGTGTTTTAACTGTAGTAAATTGGCTATATACGACTAATTGCAACTCTGATATTCAATTCAATGTTTATTTGACTTAAACAATTAAAAAAAATGAGCTGCCTAAACTGGGATTTGAACTCCAGACCTCTCGCTTCCTAAGCGAGCATGCAAACCCCTCGGCCACGGTGAAGTTAATGGCCTGAAGAAAACCATATTATTCTAAATTAGGGTTTGTAACCCTTATTATTTCGACGCTAAACCTGTTGTTTAACACAGATGTAAATAATCATGGAGCTTACTGTAAGCATGTATATCTATAAAGAATATAACAATATAAGAAATCTTCTACCATTCGGGAACTATTTTGCTTGAAAATTAATGCGCCTGTCATTTGACAATCTTTACGCAGTGATCTCCCCTGAATTTTTCGGCGTTAGTGTACATATAAAGGGAAGTAACCGCTTCAAAAAGTGGACTACTTTCGGCATTTGCAATTAACAACATCAGGGTCTGAAATTTCGCTACCATTATTTATTGGTCTGACGACCCAAACAAATAAAAATATATTGTAGATTTCCAAAATAAGCAACAAATTAAAAATATTTCCTGACTCAGTTATGAATTTCACTAAGGTATTAATAAAAGGCACAGTTTGTTTCCTTGTTAAGAATTTAATTGGCCTACAAAATGTGAAATCAATATGTTATTGCGGAATGATACTTTGCTTTGTAAGTATAAATTATTAAAATCGTGTTTATAAAATGATATTACATTGACAATTTAAATGATTTCTTTAGAAACTGAGGTAATTCTTCCATCACATTTCCAGACGAAACAATTTAGGTCCCATTTTTAAAAAAAATGTCAAACACTAACCTGAATGGTATTGGATCTTCCAACATTTACAGTGATAAACACAATTTTTATGATGTTTTTACAAATTGAGGTAATTCTGCTGCCATATTTGCAGAAATGAAAATTTAGGTCCAAATTATCCAAAAGTCTCATTGAATCAATACACATTATTGAATCACTGTAGACACAAGTCTATGCAAACAATATGCTTAATTTGCATATAATATCTCTCTAAAGTTAAAGAAACATGTCTATGAATGTCTCTCCAATCTTTTCCCAGGTACTAACCAGTGCTGGTATGGTATAATGAAACAGGGATGTACTGACCCAAGAGAGTCTTTTGTAACAAAATTCAGATCTACATGCATTTAAACATAAATTTAGTAAGAATTAAGACTAAATCAAATATACATGTATATTTTACAAAATTCAGATCTATTTAAACATAAATTTAGTAAGAATTAAGACTAAATCAAACATACATGTATATATTACAAAATTCAGATCTATTTAAAAGGTTATAATTAACAAATTTCAGATTGATTGAAATCTGTATTTTTGCAAATTCAGATAAAAGTCGAGAAAACTAGTACACTTAAATATAAAATATATGATATGCAAAAATAAATATTTAACATTGATTCTATTTAACAGTATAAAAGTAAAACTTAAATTAATAATTCATTTGATAAACAGAATGAAATCAAAAATTATTTAATATTCTATATTTGACGATTTTCATGGGTCGGTCAAGCACTTCAAACAAATAATTTTTTATGGATGGCCTAAATAAACAAGCTTTTCATGTTTTAAAGATTTATCTTGATTATAGTACTTATCAGTGACGAGAATAAAAGGAAAAAAGAATTAAAAACTTTTTTGATAATAGATTAAAATCTTCCATATTCTTTAAATTATTTTAAAATAAATAAACAGTTTTTTACATCCTTTAAATCTTAACCTGCTAGAACCAAAATCTTTTATCATCAGGTCCTATACTGTTGGTATATCAACTTGTATGTTTGGATTTTAAAATAACTGTTAAACTTTGTATGGACTGTACCAAATTCAAATCTTGGAAAATATGTTACACAAATTCTGCAGGTATGGAGTTAAGGATTTAATAATTTCTAATTGATGGAAGTATATAAAGAAAAAAATATTAAGAAATGCTTGTTTTGGAAACATTCAACGCAGTTATAATACTGTCTTGATACAAGAGACATCCTATGCTACTGAGACAAGACTGTCAATCTGTGATTGTCAATCATGCATAGTTTATAAAGTTTGTATCATTATGATGGAGGGGGAATCTTTGTTGAATGGTTAGTCTTTATCTAAATCTTACACGGGTTTGGTACAACATATAGGACCACACACACATATTACGATGGTACTCCATTCTTTTCTCTCATGTCCTTGAAGGCTATAGCTGTCCATTCTAACTGTTTCATCAGCTTTTCTAGACCTACATGTACATTTGTATATTGTTATTATATATGTTATAATATATGTAATAAAAATATTCTAAATACATGTATACAGAAAGAAACACTCTTAAATACTTGTACCAGCTTTTATTTTGAACAGTGAATAAAAAGCTATTTCAGCTGTCTATAATAACTGACAAACTAGCCTTATAACTACAAATATTACTTTTTTAGAAAACATTCTGTCTGATTGAAGGAAAATGTAATGAACGTTAATTCCAGACTTTATGACAGTATAAACTCCTGATTTACATGAATTGTCAAATTATTTAATACAGATGCAGCAAAATATTATTATAGCATCAATATGTAAAAGATTTTTATCAGTTTTCATAAAGATGATAGGATTAAGAGAGATTTATATTTCATCTTAAGCATATGATAATTATATTGAAAATGACCCCGCAAAATGTCAGGGGAGGTAATAATTGTGAAAAGAATCTATAGATCCTGGTCAAACTGCATGTATGTGCAGACTGACCTGTCTTTATACAGGTGGCAGAGGCTGAAAACTTTTGGTTGCAGCAGTTTTAGGGATAAAGATGTATTATGCCAGAAGGTAATTCCTGCATAAAAACAAAATCGATTCAGGATTAAATATTTTTACATATATGACACAATGGACATACCTGATTTCATGTGGGCATCTTTCGGAACTCCATCTTCATCAATTGCTTCATGAACCTTGGGGATACCAAATATGTTAGAAACACTGATGCATCCAATTTCACCTGTCAAAGCACGTAACTGCATTGCGGCACGCATTCCTCCGTATATACCTATAAAATGGGAAACATTTTAGCATAGAAATTTAATAAAGAAATATCACACCACATAAACATGTAGTAAAAATCCATCCAAAATGAAGAAAACAAAATTTCACATTTTTTTTTGACAACTCTACTTATCAAAACTATACCATAAAAAAATTTCAGATTTCAAAACACTTAGAACGGAAATTTAATCATATTTTAAGAAAGAAAATATATAAAATAGAACTTAGAACATTTGAGTTTTATAGATGTTCTCATTTTTTTCGACAATAAAAGATGATATATTCGTTAGTACTTGCTATAGCAATAAAATCATAGCAGGGAGGTATACATGTACATATATCACACAACTTGGGACATTTATTTACCTGGAGAATAGGTAATGATCCCACTTGGTCTCCAGGAGAAACTACTTCCTGGGAAATGATCAATCATGTTGGCAAGTGCTGGAGGTATACAGTGGTTGTACTCACACGATATCAGTAAAAATGCATCTGCATTTTTGATCTCTTCATTTGCCTAAAAAATAGATGAAAAGGTTAAGCTTAACAAGAGAGTAAATAAAATTATGTTTTACTTGCAATGAAAAGAATCTGATGTTCTAAAAACTATTCAAAACATCTCCAAGTGAAATATCAGTATTATTTATTCATTTATTTTAATTTGGGGAGGGGAGAAATTTACATAGCACCAACACAGTAGAGGTCATATGGCTACTTCAAGCTTTTAGTTGTGGAGCAACATCTTTGGTGCCCCTCTATGCATTATTTCAGGCACAAGCAGGCTTGTAGAACCACCAACACTCCATAAGATGGATGGATAGCTTCTTAACATATAAGACGTCAGGATTTGGACCCAAAGCCGTGAGGGGCAAACACTTGCTCAGCCAGCGTATTCATTGTAGACCAAAAATAAATGTAACCTTTGTTATATGACTTACATCTAACAACATCTTGGGAGCAGCTGATCTATCCTTATAGAAGTGAAGTGGTTTCTTCAACAGGTCAAACTCCATTACTGATGGGTCTGAAATAAATAGATACTTTCTGATAAATACCTCATATATTGCATTCATTATTTTGAGTATTTTTGCAGCAACCCATGCCTTTCAAAGTGGGAAATTTTAGGTCAGTTACCTAAATATATTAAAACATTTACATTTTTCAATGATAATTAACAATAAATGGTATTAAATGTTAGATGTTTTATGTCACAAAAAGATTTTTTAAGTTTTTACTATATACATGTATATATAAGGAAAATCAATGACCCCCTGGAGCAGGGCAAATTTTGACCCTATGGATTTTATTTGAGCAAACATCCACTAGATTATGTTTAATGCCAAATATCTAAGCTCTAGCTAGCTCTTTCGGTTTTATTTAAAACATCTTTTGGTTGTCATGGGGCCCTGAATTCTTATTGAAATTAATTCTTTGAACAACTTTGGTACAGCCTTATGCAAGGAACATCCCCACAACGTTTAAACCAATTTGGCGAGGTGGTTTAGAGGAAGTTGTTGAAAGAAATTGTTGACGGACGGACGATGGACAACAGACAATGGGCCATCACAAAAGCTCACCTTGCGGACATAGTCCCCAGGTGAGCTAAAAAAAGTTAAATATGCCTTAAACAAATGACTGATTGTAAATGATTGATACTGTAAATGTTCAGTTATCGGCAGTTTTGATGATTGTAAAAAGCAAATGGTTCAAAATCAGCTACCTTAACCTCTTGGACATGGACGACACCTTCCCCCTCCCCCACCTCTCTCCTCAATACATCTTTCTACATTAATGAATATCATTGTATGTAGGTAAAAGGTACTTACCAAACACTTTAATATCATACTTTTCAGATAGGGAATTTTTAACAAATTTTCCAACTCTTTCTCCTAGTCTCCCTTCACGTGTAGACCCAAGGAATATAATTAACTTCAATTTCTGTGAACTCATTAATTTCTGTGCTGCCATTTTTGCCTGATTTTTATAGCTCCTGTAAAACAAAAAAAAATGTGTTTTATTTACTAAAATGCCATAGAATACACGATCATTCCCAAACTTTCACAACACTGTTGACAGCTGAGACTCAATGAAATTTGATTTCTCTCTCCAAAGAGTGAATTAAAAGAATTATAATTTTATTTCATTGAGGAAATTATAAAGAAAAAATAAATGTCATTCTTATTGCCTTAGATAAAAAATTCTTGCATAGCAGACTGGCGTTTCCGTGAGTTTTACCCATGCCGGAAATTTCATCTGGCATGGGGGGTGCCAGATGAGTCGCGTGCCAAACAACAACGTCATTTTAGCGCACTTTATGAATGAACCGCGTTAAAATGACGTCGTTTTAGAAGGGAAATATGTGCTTAGGATGACGTCATTTCGCCGTTGTTATTTAAGTTGTAAGTTCATACGCTATTGTAAGAAAATAGTTATGGATGAAATGACTTTAATTTCCATGAACATATATCATAATGATGTAAACCATTTTAAATATGAAATAATATGGCAGAATATGCAAGAAAAAATATCTAACATATGTTTGCAGTTCGGAACGGAATATCCGTCCCTCAGGGACCCACCCAATGGCGGCCAATAAATAAAGCCCTCGGGACGGATATTCCGGTCCGAACCGCAACATATGACAGATATTATTAATATTACATTTGTAATAAAGGATTTTAATGTAAGTTTCGAAAAGATTTAGTTTTTGAGGAAAATTTTATCTAACTCAATGCTGAATAACGGCAATAGCCACTACTTTACAATGTTGCTACCATAACATTCAAAGAAATATGAAAATTAACAGATATATATTTCTTGCATATTAGGCAGGACAGGGCCATAAAACCCTTCTTTGTAGAGGCCGAATATAGGCTACTTCCCCAACCAAACTAGCCTCTTTTTTTCCCCAGTTTGGTCCTCAAAATTCCCCAGTCTTTTGAAATTTCCCATAGAATTTAGAACAAAATTAATGATGGTGTTGATTTAAGGATTTTGACTGCCTTTTTTGTATTTCCCAGTGCTTTTTGCTTTTCTATTATAAAGAACTTGTTAAACGTTTGTGTTAAATTTGAGACCCCTTTTCCCAAAGTATGCCAAAATCACGCATATTTTCCCCAAGAAAAAGGCTGAGGCCCCTTCCCCAAAAATGGTGTTTTGGCCCTGCAGGATTTTCTACCGTTTACACCGGTGCTAGAAAAACCTGTCTTACACCCCCCATGTAAGACAAGTTGCATGCTTTAAATGATGTCATTGCTGCGCGCCATTTATGAATGAATTGTGTTCTTAAAATGACGTCATTTTAAAGTTTAATGAATGAAGTTGTAAGCTCATACACTACTATAAGAAAAAATTGCGTAATGAGAATATCAGTTTTTGTAATATCTGTTTTGAAAATAACTGATCTACATAATATGCAAGAAAAAGAATCAAACACCAGCTGTAGGTACAGACAAGAATATTTAGCTCTCAGGTAACTGTCAAGCAGAAACTCGGCAGAGCCTCGTTACGACAGTAAAAAGTTACCTGAGAGCTAAATATTCCAGTTTGTACCTGCAACCAGTGTAAGATGCTTATAATATACAATCTATATTTAGCTTATTTTGGGGCCGATTTGACTTGGGGCCGATCTGACTTGGGGCCGATTTGACTAGCTTGCGTTTTTGTGGTGTAATGTAAAATCTTTGAACTGAACTTTGTTTAGGTGGTTCAATATTTAAAATATACTGGAAGATAATTAAAATATTGCAAAAAATATGTGATTTAGTGTCGGAGTTATCTCCCCAACCAGTATAGATTCTATATAAATTAAATAATAAATAAAGAGAGAAATTCAAAGAACAAGATGTACAAACCTATACATGTGTAGTGTGCAATATTTCTAGCAAGATTGTTTGATAAATGCAATATATCATTATTTAATTTAACTGCAAGTTATTCTACCTAAACACAGGAAGATTCAAAATTCAGAACAATAAATCCATACAGGGGTCCTACATATTACCGGACAAAATATGATGTTTTTTATTTGTAACTTTTAGTTAAAATGACAAAAAAGGAAGGAATTTTACCCAAATAATTTTGGGTTCTTAATGCACGTAAACATTCCTTTATTAACATGAAATTAAACATTTGACTGTAGAAATGTGTCTTTCAAGTAGGGCATTATAAGAGGAAAAAAATGGTGTAGACAACTCAATTTACCGGACATTGTGTTTCAAAATTTTTGAAGTTGTGAATTGAAATTAATCTTTAAATAATCAGCAAGGAAACTACGACTATTGAATAGCAAGATTAAGCTATTTGACAAACCCAGTATATCACTAGAAATAGACACGGCAGCCATGCCTGTTACGAAGAGGCCAATTTATAGGGTGTAATTGAAATTAACACTATTAACTCAATTAACGTATTGATTCTTCATGATCCTTAAACGTATGAAACATTTTGATATTCAAATGGAATTCTGTTCTTTGTCATACAGTTTCCTTTTGGTCATCATGTAGCATGTTACGAAAGCCATAAAATCTATTTTATTTACATTTCATGTAGAGTTACCTCCCATGGGTGTAACCCGTTTCCTTATATGTTTTAAAATTTGCATTTCTTTGTAAAAGACAAAACGAGATACTGTTTGGACTAAATTTCAAATTACTTTTTATCATTAGAATATGTTACGATTGTCTCCTGAGTTAACGTTGAGAAGAATTAAAAGTAAAACTTATCTTAAATAACCCATTTATGGCCTCCATATTCGGGCTTGCGCAGAACAAATTGTTCCCCCGCATGACCAGGTCATGAAATAACTAGTAAGCAAAAGGGCATGTTAGTAGATAAAGAACTCAATCAACAATATTTACCAGAGAGTGGCTATGTTGTTATTTACTTTGAAATAGAAAGTGTGTGTACGATTCAGACTGAATGTTTTTTTAATCGGAGCAAAAAATAAAGCACTAGTCGACAGAAAAAGCTTTTGTCCGGTAAACTGATTGTCCGGTAAATATATAGGATCCCAGTACAGGCTTCTGTTGGATTAAAAACAAGAAATAGTTTGAATTATTAAAGGTTAAAAACCAGGACATGTCACAGGAATTCGAACTGTAAAGTGGAACGGTCTTTACCTGGAAAATCTGAAAAAAAATACAAACTTGCCTACCCAAACAATTTGGTAATTTTACTTTTGTTAGATATGTGTGTTAAAGGGATAGAACTAGTACGAAGAAAATTACAGAAAATTAGCCCTACCACTTTCAGCGGCAAATGTCGTTTCATGAAATAAGGGGCGCAACTCTAATGTACAGTACTGTTTTTTATTACATGCTTTTCGGTGGTTTATAGAAATATATCAGTGATATAAAACTGGTAATTTCACTGTTTGAAACTTTGAAATTACCATTTTGATAATTTCATTGTTTTGAATTTAAACCCCTTACGTTGTTTCAGTGAAATACCAGCGTGCACAGTACTGGGTACCAACTTAATGACGTGACGTCGTAAATGACGTCACGTTGTATTATTATTTGGCGCGTTTTTCATTCAGTATTAGGTTTAATGTCTTTTTAAAACGTTTCTTTGCATATAATAAAAAGAAAATTTGTTTAGTTTAGTGTAAGATCGAAATATATTTCACCGAGTGAACACCAAAAGTTCATATTTCACTCGTGGCTGCGCCACTCATGAAATATACCTTTTGGTGCTCACTCGGTGAAATATATTTCGATCTTGTAAACACTGAACTAAACAAATATCCTCTATATATTTAGGTGAAGTAGAAAAAATAGCGGGTGGGTTTTCGCACGGAGCTTCTGTAATATTACGTCTCCGGTTATTCGCGCCAAAAGTTGGCCGTGCGGAGATGTCACCGCGTATAGAAATCTATATTTGTATGACTTTGAACAATCAAAGATATTTCTGATCCTAGGGCGACTTTATTGTTATGTTTAAAAGTGATGTTCATAATTATTATCTTTATTTGAACTTTTTTCTATAGTTATGTGGTTCCAGTGTGTGTCGAGAACTGAATATTATAAATAGAGACTTTCAAAACATTTTCACTTGCTTTGTGATATAATCACCCTTAAAATATACTGTTCTGTATATGTTGGCTTGCCTGGTCTTGAATGTCTTTTGACATCTTAACTGTGGAGTGCAGACTTCATAGCTTTTATCCCCTTTCAAAATGTTTCATATACATTTATATTTATGAAAAAGAACAATTCTGTTTTGAATTATACTTAGACAAGATTAATTGTAAATCCTTAAGAAGCGCTCTTACACGCCTTCCAGTGTCCTCTCACAGACTTAGAATTGAGTCCGAAAGCCGTGTAGAACGTCACGACAAAACTTGTCAATTCTGTGATGCTATCGAGCTCAAAGACGAGTATCATTTTGTTTCTTATGAAGATCGACGTAGTAAATATATTAAGAGTTATTTTTACATTCGGCCTAGTATGGCCAAATTTATAGACTATTAATTACTGCAATCTAAAAGCCATAAAGTACTTACAAACTTATGTTATTATTTAAAAAAGCCAAACATCAGACGAAATGATAACTCTAGAAATAGTATTCAATAGTATTATGATGCTGTTTGATTATATATACTGTAACGTTCTTTCTTTATATTATATAAGTATTTTGTCAAACAAATTCGATTAAAAGCGAAGTTATAGTTTGTTCTCCCCTTAAATTTAGTACTCTTCATTATTCATTAACAGAAGTACATATGTAATTTATAGATACAAATATATAATTGATTAATGGATTTTGTCAGTATATGCGATGTATTGCATTGTTTTTATTTAATATCCCATTGCTCAATTGATTTTTTACTTTATGTGTTTTTTTTTATTCATATAGTGTAAGATATGTGACCTAAAATTGTATTTCAAAATGCTTGTTACAGCGATGTACCTATGTGTAACAAAGTTTAACCATGTTATGTTCTGTTAAGTTCTGTTAAGTTCATATAAATGTCCGCTTTGTGAAGAGGATGCATTCTATTTAATCAGGTAGGTATAAAAAGGTTGATTTTTTTAGCAGCGGTCAATAGTGTTTCTTTTACTGTTTAATAGCCAGTGATTTATAGATATTTTCTTTTGTGCACTGATTAGATTTTCCTTTGATTTTGGATGATTGATCATGATTTTTTAATACAATATAAATACGTTTTATATTAACTTCGAATTTGTATAATTACATCATTTAAATGAATATATAGTAAAGTATTATATTGTTGACTTCCTTATACGTTTATTAAATGTTTCTCCTCGTAGCTTTTGTGAGAAACAACTTTTCCCCAGCATTGTTGAAGAAAAGTTTAAATTAACCGAGGGTATTGAGAAAAAAGCGGAGTAAAAGTGATAAAAAGTATCATTCATCAATACATCGTTAAAAGACTATTCATATACAACAGTTAAAATGTGTTTTATGTGTTGTAGATCAATGTTTTGCATTGTTTTATTCAGACGATTAAATAGATTGATTATCATATGTTTCAAACTATTTTTCTTTTTCTTTGTTTGTCATTGCATCTGTCCGTATACTCAATTGGTAATTTTCTACCCATTTGTAATAATATTAATCAGTATATGATTATATATACTGTAACGTTCTTTCTTTATATTATATAAGTATTTTGTCAAACAAATTCGATTAAAAGCGAAGTTATAGTTTGTTCTCCCCTTAAATTTAGTACTCTTCATTATTCATTTACAGAAGTAATTTATAAATACAAATATATAATTGATTAATGGATTTTGTCAGTATATGTGATGTATTGCATTGTTTTTATTTAATATCCCATTGCTCAATTGATTTTTTACTTTATGTGTTTTTTTTATTCCTATAGTGTAAGATATGTGACCTAAAATTGTATTTCAAAATGCTTGTTACAACGATATATACCTATGTGTAACAAAGTTTAACTATGTTATGTTCTGTTAAGTTCTGTTAAGTTCTGTTAAGTTCATATAAATGTCCGCTTTGTGAAGAGGATGCATTCTATTTAATCAGGTAGGTATAAAAAGGTTGATTTTTTTAGCAGCGGTCAATAGTGTTTCTTTTACTGTTTAATAGCCAGTGATTTATAGATATTTTCATTTGTGCACTGATTAGATTTTCCTTTGATTTTGGATGATTGATCATGATTTTTTAATACAATATAAGTATACGTTTTATATTAACTTCGAATTTGTATAATTACATCATTTAAATGAATATATATAGTAAAGTATTATTGTTGACTTCCTTATACGTTTATTAAATGATTCTCCTCGCAGCTTTTGTGAGAAACAACTTTTCCCCAGGATTGTTGAAGAAAAGTTTGAATTAACCGAGGGTATTGAGAAAAAAGCGGAGTAAAAGTGATAAAAAGTATCATTCATCAATACATCGTTAAAAGACTATTCATATACAACAGTTAAAATGTGTTTTATGTGTTGTAGATCAATGTTTTGCATTGTTTTATTCAGACGATTAAATAGATTGATTATCATATGTTTCAAACTATTTTTCTTTTTCTTTTGTTTGTCATTGCATCTGTCCGTATACTCAATTGGTAATTTTCTACCCATTTGTAATAATATTAATCAGTATATGATTATATATACTGTAACGTTCTTTCTTTATATTATATAAGTATTTTGTCAAACAAATTCGATTAAAAGCGAAGTTATAGTTTGTTCTCCCCTTAAATTTAGTACTCTTCATTATTCATTTACAGAAGTAATTTATAAATACAAATATATAATTGATTAATGGATTTTGTCAGTATATGTGATGTATTGCATTGTTTTTATTTAATATCCCATTGCTCAATTGATTTTTTACTTTATGTGTTTTTTTTATTCCTATAGTGTAAGATATGTGACCTAAAATTGTATTTCAAAATGCTTGTTACAACGATATATACCTATGTGTAACAAAGTTTAACTATGTTATGTTCTGTTAAGTTCTGTTAAGTTCTGTTAAGTTCATA